CTGCATTGAGAAGAAAGTGAGAATGGAGGGCTGGGTGGAAAGGCATATACATAGATAGATGCAGAGGACACACACACAACACACACACTGTCCATTTGTCAATTTAAGGTAAGGATGGGTCGCTTTAGTGGTAGTCTTCCAATTACTGCCCAGAGCCAGTGAGAGCAATCAGTCAGAGCTCATGTGTAAAAATGCTGGACCTGACTGTGCTTGAGCCTCTCTTTTTTACTCCCAGAGGGCCTGCAGGGCCATTAAGATCAACAGTAATGAAAGTTAATGAGTGTGGCCTCTCCACAATGCAGGGAATAATCACATATCATTTGCTTTACACTGGGGAGTGGACACACATCACACACGCACGTGTTTTACTTATTGGGGATTGATTGAATAGGGCCCTACCCTCTTAGAAAAAGGGTTCCAAAACGGTTATTCGGCTGTCCCCAAAGGAGAACCCTTTTTGGTTCCATACAGAACCCTTTTTGGTTCCACATAGAACCCTTTTGGGTTCCATGTAGAACCCTCTGTAGAAAGGGTCCTACATGGAACCCAAAAGGGTTCTACCTGGAACGAAAATGGTTCTACCTGGAACCAAAAAGGGTTCGTCAAATGGTTCTCCTATGGAGACAGCCGAAGAACCATTTTAGGTTCTAGATAGCACCTTTTTTTCTAAGAGTGTAAGGTTGACCACCTTATTCAACTGAAAGTTTTTGTGTCTTTGTTTGCTGTCCTTAGTCACCGCCATGGTGATTTGCCCCAAGCACCTCAGCAATGAGGAGAATGTGATGTGACAAATTGAGATGCATGGGGCCGAGCACAAACTTGATCAGCGTCCTGTCTCCTCAAATCTTTCTGTTTGCCCTGCCTTCAGAGAAGATGGTTGTTGGTGACACCGAAAGATGATGTAAAACAGGTTTTAGGGTGTTATCTGGTCAAAACAAAATCTGCACATGCACTTCTGTATTTGATTGAGCTATAAGGACATTTAATAATTACTAAAGATATGTATTGTCAAATTGTGCTTGAAACAGGTGCATGGATACCACAGCAATGTGGTGAGAGGATAATTTTGTGTTGGTTGATTTCTTTCCATATCTATGTTGATCCCTGTCCTTATTGTTGGAGTTTCTGTTTCCTGGTCATTAAAAGCTTTGACACAGATGCAACTTGACAGTGATTTGGACTTATTTTTAAATTTGGGATATCACATAGGTCCCTGCTAATAATAATATAATTTAATTTGGACTCCCCCTCCCAGCGCATTGCTTATGACATTTATGAGTCAAATATCCTGTGCCATTTCGACACTTGTAAACATACTGAGTCATGACTTCTGTGGCACGTTTTCACACTGGCTTCCTGATTCCAACATAGTGAGCATTCATCTCAACATGATGTAAGAAATGTGACAGTGTTTTCTGTTCATATTAGTTATGAACTTAACATCACCATGTAAGAGAGTCAGTGAACAATTTTGGTAACACTTTACTTGACACCCAGCGTTGTAACACGTTATGACACGGTCATAACCATGTCATAACAGCTAACATAATTTATCATAACCTCTTATAATATGGTCATGACACTGTCATGACATATAAATTTAGACTTGTTGTGACATTTATTACGTTATTTTATGGCTGTTTATGACGCCTACATAAAAGTGTAGAAACCCACAAAACCTACCACGATAGTTATTTTATGGCTGGTTATGACACCTACAAAAGCGTGCCAAATCCCACAAAACCTACCACACAAAGCAAAACATTTCATTACACCATAGCCTACTTGTCAACAGTATGTTTATGTTATATATATTTGTTTTTTTATTGACCATATTAAATTATCATTGTAATTGCGCACATTGATGTCAGACATGCACCTACCCCAATGCTCTATTGGTGGTGACTGGGATGAATGCAGGAACAGATTTCAGGAGCAGGACAAGACACCCTGTTTTGGACTGATGACTGATATAAGGGCCTGTACATGATAGGCCTATATGGTTTATATGATTATGATGGGCATAATGCTTCTGGACAGTGTCATAAAGTGTATTTTCTTAGTCCTAGTAAAGTGACACCGGATGGGCATAATGCTTCTTGAAAGTGTCATAAAGTGTATTTTATTCGTCCTAGTAAAGTGACACCGGATGGGCATAATGCTTCTTGAAAGTGTCATAAAGTGTATTTTCTTAGTCCTAGTAAAGTGACACCGGATGGGCATAATGCTTCTTGAAAGTGTCATAAAGTGTATTTTATTAGTCCTAGTAAAGTGACACCGGATGGGCATAATGCTTCTTGAAAGTGTCATAATGTGTATTTTATTAGTCCTAGTAAAGTGACACCGGATGGGCATAATGCTTCTTGACAGTGTAATAAAGTGTATTTTCTACAAGTTATTTAAAATATTATTAAAAAACATGACTGTAAAGAATTCATTACAACAACAAAGGATTTAAGAAACACACTTTCAATCGAAAGGAAACTTCTTGACAGGGAAAAAACTAATTTGGTTTTGACCCTCTTATTTAAGCCATAAAATAACGCAATATATGTCACAACAGGTGTAAATATATGGGTCATGACAGTGTTATGACCATATTATGACAGGTTATGACAAGTTATGTCAGCTGTTATGACATATTATGACATGGTTATGACCGTGCCATAACGTGTTATGACACTGGGTGTCAAGTAAAGTGTTACCACACTTTTTTACTTGTCGATTAAGAAAGCACAATCTATTCAAGGAGGAACGATAGTAAATTAGCTCTTCTTATATCATGCCAGAAACTATACAGTGAATTAAGCGTAATGTACAGTACAGTACAGTCAATGACATGGCTTGATACAGTCCCTTTCACTCCGATTATTCCACTTAGCTTGTTAGGAGGCCGAGGAGGCCATCAAATCAGCCCTGGCACTGATTACAAGAGGGATTGAACACAGGTGAACCTACAGTGAGGTGGACACTCTACTGTTTCGTATGTAACCTACACACTACTGTATAAGTCTGCGGCCAATGCATATTACAAAAACAATTTGACCTTGATCAATATACTTACTATGTAACTGTAAATAACAACCAGATTTCTACCAAAATATGGCAATGCTTCATAATGCAAATTGTGTATGGCCATTGTAATTGAAATTGTAAGTGTAGAAGTAAGAATGTTATGTCTGTTCAGGTCCCTTTTGTCATGAATTGCACTAGCTGAAAACGAAATGTAGACGTAAAATCCAAGGCTATTCTTTGTTATTCATTATGCCAGTTCAATACTTCTATAATGGCAAGAACAATCACACATAAAAACAATTGCACAAGTATATGTCATTTTATTCACTGAATATATTCGAAGTTATATTAGTTCCGAAAATGTACCAATAATTCTGTGGAAACTATTTCCCAGTCATCTTTGTCACAGCCCTCTCATAACTGTGATGATTAAAAGACAGTTTATGGCTTATCTACAGTATGTCTGTTGACATAAATGCATGTTAATGTATATCTGCTATGCTATGCTTTGTCTCATGTCTTTGAAGTGAATAAAAAAAAAGAAAAGATCCCTGCCATTATTAAGTTTGAATATTTCCACTGTATAATTGAGACTGAGAAGGTAATTGCTTTCAAGTTATTATCTATGTTTTGCTGATTTGATCTGATAGCAAATAACATGCTAATTTAACACTTGTATTGTCAGGAAACTGATTGATTCATTTGAAGTCGATATGTATGAAATCAAATATAAAACTCTGTTTCCCATCTTCATTCAGGTGAGCAGGTCATCAACGCACGTGTTGAGGGCAACTATAGGTTTGTGACGTAATTTGCAAGTAACTTTGCAATACTTTCCTCCCAACAAGTTTGTTTTTTACATGAAAATAAATAATTAACATCAATATTTACTTACAAAATTACACAGCTTTAAAAAATAAATGGACATATTTTATTTGGTGGACGGTTTCACAGAACTAAATGCTCTAGGTAAGTTTATGCACAAGGTATAGCGTTGTTCCACATGGATATAAAGTGATTATATGCATCATTGCCGCTCTAAATGTGGTCTTCTTCTGTATAAGCTGATGGTACTCTATAGCAGTATAAAGGTTGTTTTAGAATGCATTTATTGAACTACCATTTAGAGTCCTGGACAAAGCAAATCTATCTAATCCCAGGTGGACATGTATTATATTTACTGTGGCCTACATCTTCAGGCCAATATTTTTTGTTTTAGTATATCTAATATACAATGTAAACATTCACTTTATACTGTAGAGATCACCACACATGACTTTGAGTCCGTTGTTGAAGAACTGAAATATTGTTTTGAATGGCAAATCGATGAGGTTGACGATTGAGGTCATCGCACCAGTGGGTCTTCCTCAGAGTGGCTGAAAAAGACAGTTGGAGAAGAGAGAGGGAGGGAGGGAGGGAGGGAGGGAGGGAGGGAAGGAATGAAGGAAGGAAGGAAGGAAGGAAGGAGGGAGAGAGAGAGAGAGAGAGGGAGGGAGGGAGGGAGGGAGGGAGGGAGGGAGGGAGGGAGGGAGGGAGGGAGGGAGGGAGGGAGGGAGGTGCAGATAATTGATTATTGATCAGAATAGTGAAAGAATCACAAGTAGATACAACAGAGTTTCAGATCATGGTATGAGAAGACACACGTGATGAGGGCATTCATTCAGTAGAAACATTCTACTGTATTGCCTATACACTTCCAATAGCTGAGCTCCTGTAGTACAATTAAAGTATCCCTATAGGTATATACACAGTATGTTGTTAGCAGTACAATAAAGATGCAGCTACATTTGTCCACTAAACTCCACTATACAAATATCAGGTCTTGCTGTCTCTATGGGTAGCAGTGCGACCACAACGTGTTCAATACCCTGTCTACACAATGACCACCCCAGTAACAACCCAATGGAGAGGACGTTCAACTGGACCCACAGATGGGGGTGGAGTGAAACTGAATGGAGGAGGAGGAGTGAGACTGAACCTACCAATTGGAAGTTATTGAGAAGGTGATCAACGTTGACGTCATCATAGCTCTCTTGAAACGAGGGCTCACTTCTAGATTCTTCTTGCATTGGAGGGTCTTCTTGACTGAAAAGAGAAGAAGTGTACATTGTACTGTCCTCACACTGTGGAGGCACACTGCAAAACTGCACATGCTGACATACACACTCGCAAACACACACACACACAACCCATTATTGTGCTTGTTCCCACCTTCTCTTTCCTGTCAGAACCGAGTTCAGGTATTTCTTCACAGCCATCTGTTTGCGGAAGCGACTGTAGTTGTCTGTGAATATGGCATCTGAGTGGCGCTTCACTGGTACCTGGTCCTCCATCATGTCATCACTGTGACAAATTAACCACAACACATTTTAGTCCATCATTTTGAGACTTCTGCTAACCTTGGACCTATCCAATTTACTGGACCTATCCAATAAATAGGGTTATTTAAACCATAAGTAGATCACAATTTAGATGACAAATCTCTTACAATTACAACAAATTAGGTTATTAACAGTTTTCAAGGCAGATATGCTAATACAACATTCTTACGGATATATCCAAATGTTTTCACTGAGACTAAAATCACAGAAATAGGTCACAGGAAGATAATTTTGTGGAATATATATTCCTGTCATGCTTTCTGACTCTATAAATGTTGTGAAATTTGAAAGGCGCTCTATTCGCATTTAATCGGGACATCAAACTCCGCGCGTTGATCTGAAAGAAAAGCATAAAATAGAGCCTACCTGACTCGCTTTCCGATCAAGGATTCCAGGTACCGCCGCGCCGATAGCTGTCCAAGAAGTTTGCTGTATCCGCTAGTAAAGAGACCGTCTGCGTGTCTCGTCGGTCTGCCAACAGAATAAAACAGTTAATAGTCGTTATGTGCAGCAAAAATCTGAAACGGGGGTTTCTGTTCCAATAGGCTATATTAGGTTTAAAAAAATGCGTATGTCGATTACTCTTAGACAATACAAAAATAACATTTGTTGTCATGAGACGGACAGACACTTTTAAATTCGTTTTTTTGCATTCTCTCTGGGTATCCTAACATCCAAGATTCCATTGGAAGAAATTACCACGTTCCACTGATTATTCATTACTTTCAACATAATATTCAATTAGGCCTACATAAAAGTAGCCTAGGCGACATAACATAAAACATGATTTCTCAAGACTTAAATATTATTGTTAGAAAGTAGTATTGTACTAGGATATAGTCGATTAAGTAATTAATTGTTTATTATCGCGTTTATTCATTAACCCCAGAGTAAGAATAAGTTAGAACACTTTAACATTATATAAGTTAGTATATCGTTGCAGTTCTTGAACTCTGGCAAAAGTAACTATTGATGCTCTTTTAGTCATGTCCTCATGCACATAAACAATACATCTTTAAATGAATAACCTACCTCATAGATGCATATGGCAAACATTGAGTCCGGGAATATAACACGCTGCACAGGGCTATTAGGAAAAGGAGCTGGGAGCCGTTCCTTTGTAACATCGCTTTATACCTGTAAAGGGAGATATGGTTTAATTCACTACTGTTGCTTTCACATAGCCTACATTCTTATGGTCAATGTGAAAACGACTACATTTCTCAAAATCCTTGCCTCATTATTCGGTACCACTTTACGCACAGGAAAAAAGTTTCATCAAGACCCTTTCTTTCTCTTGTATTGTTAAGGAATACGAGTAAACCACATGAGTAAACAAGTTTGCCGATTGTGCTAGCCAGTGCTTCCAGAAAAAATGTACGTTGAGAATGAATACAAATGCGCAATTGCGCACGTATCCAGTTGGTGAGGATTTGGTTTCAACCTTTGTATGAGCATTTGTTTATGTGCTCAAATACAATTTTCAATCACAAATCAATCTTATATTTGGAATAAATAACCATTTCAAGTTATTAATTTGCTGGAAGATGGACACAATTACTTCTAATTATTCCAACTATGTTTATGCTTGATTGCAGAGGTAAAAACACATTGCAGCCTGTGCAATTAGAATATGATGTGAAGCCTAACTGAAAATAATATCAAACAAATAGCATAATTATCTCAAACAAATAGCATAATTGGAAAAAGTCTTACATTTGCTAAAATGATCCGCTGTTCTGCTTGGGTACCGTGTGCTGTCCAAGGTCTTGAAACGCTTTGTGGCTGTATCTCCTAGAGAAGTCACGGAACACTGTTCAATACCTCAGTTGCTTCTTCAACTGTCAGCGTCTCTTACTATACCTTCAACTCTTCCCTCGTTTTATACATCTTAATACTTTTCGTTAAGCAGGAAGGCAATCAGATTTGATCAAGGTTGATACGTCATATAAATCCCTTTGGGAGTGATGCGTTCGTCATTGGCTTGTTCGCATGCTCAGTCGAACCAACCCTATGGTAAAATGTGGTTTTGGTCATACAAAAATGACTTATTGCATATCAGGGGTGTTGACTCATCTTATGATTATCCCTAGATGCTGTACCACTTGCAATGGTAGGTCTAATAGAGGTAAACAAAACATTAAGGCTGCATTTACACAGGCAGCCCAATTATGATATTTCTTCCACTAATTGGTCTTTTGACAAATCACATCAGATCTTTTCACATCAGATCTTTTTCAGAGCTGATCCAATTGGTCAAAAGACCAAAATGCCAATTAGTTTTCAGTACCTCCTTCCCTTTCTCCTATTCCACCTCCTCTCTCCACCTCTCCCATCTCATCTTCTTTTTCCTCTATATCACTCTATCCTTCTCCTAACCACCCTCAGTCCCACCCCTGCCTATTGTCTCTCCCAATATAAGGATGTTAAATGTTGACATTCCCTTACTCAATGCAGATGAAAGGCTCAGTTGACACAGATGTCAGATGCTCTCATGGAATAACCTTACACGCATGTGAGTATAGGCCCACTTCCATTTCACCAGAACAAATCACATACAAGAACCATCATCTCCTCATTAGGTTTAACTAGATAAAGATTCACACAGATGTTCTGATTTGAGAGAGTGCATTGAACAGAGTTGTTCCCAGAGAGAATGAATACTTTAGATTTTGTGATCTTAGTGTTAGTCTGGTTAATGCAAGACTGTATGGCTTTTGTGCTGGAATGTTGGTGGTTCCATGGGAAAATAGATCAATCCATGTAGAATATATCTCAAGACTGAAGTACTAACAAATGTGTTTCTATAACCCATCATTTTTTTGACACTGGTTAATTTGAGTGATATGCTTCAGGTTTGAGCCACAGTGTTGTATTTCGGCAACTGGATTCAGTATCAGCATTGGACTCTAGTTTATCTGTACTGATTATCAGTGTTGGGTCTTATTGAATACATCTCATATCTCCAAGACTGGGCGGCTGTAATAACCTTATCTCTACCAGCAGCCTCTGGAAGTCTAATCACAATTGTAATGTAATCATGCCAAACATAAAGTTGATTAGGGACAAAGGACTGGGAAACATGCTCATTTAATTGACAGCGATGATTTGAAACAGAGTCTGGCAAGGACTCCTTATACAGGAAACGTATGCATTATTTTGAAGGAATGTGCAGAATTGACAAGTTCCTATGTATGAGCCAGTTAAAAGAGCCCCAGAAAACTACGACATTGATGAAACCATAACTTTGGTGTTATGATGCACAGCCTTTAAATTAGAAGTTAACTCTCAGCTATCCAGCAATAACGCCAGTCAGCATCACGTCACATGCTTAGGACCCTGAGACTGAACACCTCCCTCTGCAACTGGATCCTGGACTTCCTGACGGGCCGACCCAGGTGGTGAGGGTAGGCAACATCACCTCCGCCACGCTGACCCTCAACACGGAGGCCCCACAGGGGTGTGGTTATTCCCCTACTGCAATCCCTGTTCACCCACGACTGCGTGGCCACGCACGACTCCAACACCATTACATTTACATTTTAGTCATTTAGCAGACGCTCTTATCCAGAGAGACTTACAGTTAGTGCATACATTATTTTTATTTTTTCATACTGGCCCCCCGTGGGAATCGAACCCACAACCCTGGCGTTGCAAACGCCATGCTCTACCAACTGAGCTACATCCCTGCCTGCCATTCCCTCCCCTACCCTGGACGACGCCCCCATCCACATTGACGGAGCTGCAGTGGAGCGGGTTGAAAGCTTCAAATTCCTTGGTGTCCAAATCACTAATAACTTCAAATGGTCCACACGCACAGTCGTGAAGAAGGCGTGACAGCGCCTCTTCTCCCTCAGGAGGTTGACAAGGTTTGGCATGGGCCCTCTACAGTTGTACCATTGAGAGCATTTTGACTGGCTGCATCTCTGCTTGGTATGGCAATAGTACCCCCCTCGATCGCATGGCACTACAGAGGGTGGTGCAGACAGTACATCACTGGGGCTGAGCTCCCTGCCATCAGGCGGTGTGAGAGGAAGGCCTGGAAAACCATTAGAGACTCCAACCACCCAAGCCATAGACTGTTCTCTCTGCTTCCACAAGGCAAGTGTCACACCCTGGCTCTGGGGACTCTATATGTTGAGCCAGGGTGTGTAGATTCTATGTGTTTTGTGTTCTATGTTAATTAGTCTAGTTGTTCTATTTCTATGTTGGCCAGAGTGGTTCTCAATCAGAGGCAACGAGTGTCAGCTGTTGCTGGTTGTCTCTGATTGGGAACCACATTTAAACAGGCTGTTTTCCCACAGTAGTTGTGGGATCTTGTTCCTTTTGGTTTGTGCCGTGTTGGTTGTGTTTAACCTAGGACGTCACGTTATCGTTTATTGTTTTGTTCTTGTTATCACTTTGGATAATAAAGTATGTTCGCTCATCACGCTGCGCCTTGGTCTAGTCCGTTCAACGATCGTGACAGAAAATCCCACCATACCAGGACCAAGCAGCGTGTCCAGGAGCAGGCGGCCTGGACATGGGAGGAAGCGCCGGGAAAGGAGCTGGAGAGGTTGGCGATGGCCCAGGTGGGCCAATTGTGGTCCTGGGAGGACATGCTCGGGGGAAAAGGGCCATGGGCTAAGGTTAAGGCCCTAGCGAGAGAGGAGCAACGGCGTCAACAGTGTCGTCGTCGGACGGACGAGAGGCACCCCCAATAATTTTTTAGGGGGGGGGGCACACGGCATGGGCGACTGGGCAGCAGGAGGCTGCCACAGGGCGAATTGGGAGATTAGACGAGGAGGCCACCGGGTTTGGGGGGCCAGAAGGCAGGTTGGCGGAGCCTGGCTGGAGAGCAGAGCCAACTCCCCGTACTCAGGCATGGCAGCATGAGGCTGGGCAGGTTCCGGGGTATGCGGAGCTGCGTACTGTGCCACGAGTGGTCCGGCATAGTCCGGTACGTCCTGTGCGAGCACCCCGCACGTGTCGTGCGAAGGTGGGCATGCAGCCAGGACGGAGTGTGCCGGCTCAGCGCTCGTGGTCTCCAGTGCCTCTCCTCGGTCCCGGATATCCTGCGCCAGTGTCACGTGCTGTTATGCCAGTACGGGTACACAGCCCTGTACGTCCTGTGCGGATGCCTCACACAGAGTGTGTGAAGGTAGGCATTCAGCCAGGACGGGTTGTGGCAGCTCTTCACTCCAGGCCTCCTATCCATCTCCATAGCCCGGCCCGGCCTGTTCCTGCTCCTCGCACCAAGCCTCCGGTGCGCATCGCCAGCCCGGCCCGGCCTGTTCCTGCCACTCGCGCCAAGCCTACGGTGTGCGTCGCCAGCCCGGCCCGGCCTGTTCCTGCCCTTCGCACCAAGCCTACGGTGCGCGTCACCAGCCCGGCCCGGCCTGTGCCTGCTCCTCGCACCAAGCCTACGGTGCGCGTCGCCAGGCCCGGCCCGGTCTGTTCCTGCCACTCGCACTAAGCCTAAGGTGTGCGTCGCCAGCCCGGCCCGGCCTGTTCCTGCTCCACGCACCAAGCTAACGGTGCGCGTCGCCAGCCCGGCCCGGCCTGTTCCTGCCACTCGCACCAAGCCTACGGTGCGCGTCGCCAGCCCGGCCCGGCCTGTTCCTGCCTTTCGCACCAAGCTAACGGTGCGCGTCGCCAGCCCGGCCCGGCCTGTTCCTGCCACTCGCACCAAGCCTAAGGTGTGCGTCGCCAGCCCGGCCCGGCCTGTTCCTGCCACTCGCACCAAGCCTACGGTGCGCGTCGCCAGCCCGGCCCGGCCTGTTCCTGCCACTCGCACCAAGCCTACGGTGTGCGTCGCCAGCCCGGCCCGGCCTGTTCCTGCCCCTCGCACCAAGCCTACGGTGCGCGTCGCCAGCCCGGCCCGGCCTGTTCCTGCCACTCGCACCAAGCCAGGGGTGCGCATCGTCAGCCCGGTCCGGCCCGTTCCGGCTCCACGCACCAAGCCAGGGGTGCGCATCGTCAGCCCGGTCCGGCCCGTTGCTGCTCCACGCACCAAGCCAGGGGTGCGCATCGTCAGCCCGGTCCGGCCCGTTGCTGCTCCACGCACCAAGCCAGGGGTGCGCATCGTCAGCCCGGTCCGGCCCGTTCCTGCTCCACGCACCAAGCCAGGGGTGCGCGTCGTCAGCCCGGTCCGGCCCGTTCCTGCTCCACGCACCAAGCCAGGGGTGCGCTTCGTCAGCCCGGTCCGGCCCGTTGCTGCTCCACGCACCAAGCCAGGGGTGCGCATCGTCAGCCCGGTCCGGCCCGTTCCTGCTCCACGCACCAAGCCAGGGGTGTGCGTCGTCAGTCCGGCACAACCCGTGCCTGGGTCACCGGTGCCTGGTCAGGTACCGGTCAGCTGCTCCACACCGGAGCGTAAGCAATCCGCTCCTACGATGTCCAGTCCAGCTCCAGCCAGCGGGGCCAGACCGGACCAGGGGCGCTACGGGGGGATTATTGGAGGGTGGTGGTCAAGCCCGGAGCCGGAACCGCCTCCAAGGAGGAATGCCCACCCAGCCCTCCCCTGTTTGGTTTATGTTGAGGCGCAGTCGCAGTCCGCGCCTTTGGTGGGGGTACTGTCACACCCTGGCTCTGGGGACTCTATATGTTGAGCCAGGGTGTGTAGATTCTATGTGTTTTGTGTTCTATGTTAATTAGTCTAGTTGTTCTATTTCTATGTTGGCCAGAGTGGTTCTCAATCAGAGGCAACGAGTGTCAGCTGTTGCTGGTTGTCTCTGATTGGGAACCACATTTAAACAGGCTGTTTTCCCACAGTAGTTGTGGGATCTTGTTCCTTTTGGTTTGTTCCGTGTTGGTTTATTTTGTAGCCAAGGACTTCACGTATCGTTTGTTGTTTTGTTCTTGTTATCACTATTGATAATAAAGTATGTTCGCTCATCACGCTGCGCGTTGGTCCACTCCGTTCGACGATCGTGACAGCAAGCAGTACTGGTGCATCAAGTCTGACACCAACAGGCTCCGGAACAGCTTCTATCCCCATGCCATAACACTACTAAATAGCGAACTAAATAGGTAACATTTTGGCTACACGGACTATCTGAGTTGACCTTTGTATTTTATTCTTATTTTTGCACTGTCTCTATGCACACTCACAGGGCCCTACATGCACACTGACACTGCAACCCACATACAAACACTCACGCCATCATTTAATAATATTATGTGTGTGTGTGTGAGAAAATGATGGAGTGAGTGTTTGTATGTGTGTTGTTGTGTCAGTGTGCGTTATGCACATACAGTTATACTGACTCTACACACGCACACCCACTCACATACAATCATCATATATGCTGCTGCTACTCTGTTTGTCATATATCCTGATGCCTAGTCACCTTACCCCTATACATATCTACCTCTATCGATCCAGTATCCCTGCACATTGTAAATATGGTACTAGAACTTATCCTGTATATAGTATGCTTACTTATTTATCGTGTTCTTCTTATTTTCATATCTTGTGTGTTTTTGTTCTACCTTGTTATTTTTAGTATTACGTTGTTATTGAGTACTGCATTGTTGGGGTTAGAGCTTGCAAGAAAGGCATTCACTGTACTTGTGCATGTGACATTGAAACTTGACATTTGAAACTTGAATACCATTATACATTATGCGAGCAATAAGTTGATCCTCCATCACGCTTCAATACCTAATGGACAGAACACGTAACAGAAAATACCTGGCCATGAGTCGGACGCTGGGGAATACCCCAGCTTGTTAGAGCTTATTGTGGTTTAGATTATCTGTCCACTGAACACTGGAGATGTGTTTGTTGCCAAATTGGCACTGACAGACTGATTTATGGGCCAGGGTCTAATATGACAGACACAGCCTTCTAGGTGAGTCAGTTTTATGTCATTTGCTTGAGGAACTCACTACCCAGTGGATGACCTTATCACCAATCTCATGGATTCCCTCACCAGGGTAAAGGTCCACCTGGATCTTATGAGTAATGGATAATCTCATAGAGCAGGGGTACTCAACTCTGACCCTACAAGGTCCGAAGCCTACTGGTTTTCTGTTCTACCTGATAATGAAATCCACACACCTGGTGTCCCAGGTCTAAATCAGTCCCTGATTAGAGGGGAACAATGAAAAAAGGCAGTGGAACTGGCTTCGAGGTCCAGAGTTGAGTTTGAGGGCTATAGAGGAAAGTAGATGGCAAAACTAGGTCCAATAAATCAAGACTGAGGGAGAGGATGTTCCTCAGAGTGGAGACCATGAACAGTACACGTCATTTTCCCTTTCACTGGCAAACCAAGGGCAAATTGAACATGGAAATTGAACATTTACAAATATAGATCATTGGTATGTTTAATGTGACTCGTTAATTAAAAATTTCCAATTTCATCAAATTTGGCGCAGGTCTAAGTCTGCATCAAGTGTTAACTGTGCATAGATCCTGTCGAATCCATCTGTCGCAGCAACCGGCGATTCATGGCGGCGCACAATGGCCCAGCTCGTTAGGGAGGAATGCGGCATATGTAGCTCGTGTACATGGGTTGCAGCAGGGTTTGGTCGATCCCACGGGCCAATAAAAAAATATTATGTATCACTAACTGTAGTCGCTATGGATAAGAGGTCTGCTAAAGACTAAATGAATGTAATGTATCTCACTTGATAGCATGATTTGGGAAAAATGAATTTAGCAAACAAAACAACTTGATTTTAGGGCCCAAATACAACACACACTGTAGGCTGAGGGTACACCTTATTTTGGGCCCCTGGGGGACCTGTAATCAAAGTCCTGTTTTAGGCTGAAATCCATGCAATGGATCAATTAAGCAAACAGCTCTTCATAGCATCCTAACTAATTCTGTAAATACATTTGTGTCTCAAGCCACATGGAAGACGTTAATGCCCAGTAATGGTCTCAGTGCTTCATTAGTCCAGTAATCAAAGGCACAAACCACACTACAACGCTCCTGGGACCGCAAGTCATCAGATCCAATCACATTACAGGTTTGTCTTTCTGGGCTGCTCACAGAGGTAGCCATGTTTTACATTTCCTTCGATACTAACAAGATAACTAGTGTATTTAAGGCATGTCATTCAACTCTCTGAGGAGTTGGTTCTCTGGATAGTATCTGTCTGTGACAGTCAGAGAGCAGAACAGTGTTCACATGTAAAGTTATCTCATGCTGTTGTCAAAATAATTGTACAGTAGAATTTAATATGAATATATTTTCTGTTTTGTTCCAGATACACATCACAAATTCTACTGCTACTCAAGAACAGTTGCATTCAGAGGAAATACTATTGGGGAAGGAATTCTTATGACAGATGTTGAGTAATACTTTACAAATCTTTTTGTAAAAATGCTTTCTTAAGGTGTCAATTCTGCCCTGCCCTAGACACACATCGTGAGAGCAGTCAAAAGTGAGTGAGTACTACAATATAAAAAATAATCAAGTTCAATAACAGGTGTGAAGGCACACTCTGTTTTGTGATATACCTCGGGACAAACAGGAATATTGGCAGAGAGGACAACCTAGTTTAGCGGGCACACTGGGGGATGGAATAGTTCCCTAAATATCTCTATTAAACTCATATTGTTTTGACACATCCATCTCTAGTCCCTATGTCACCTGGATTCGTGAGCAGCAATGACAATGAAACATTTAGAAAAATTGAAGAAAATCTGGACATGGCCTATATCAAAGAGTTCAAGCATGTTTGACACCTGGTATTGTCCTATTGCATCCCAGACAGCAAATAATTCAGAGATGAATACTTTTTGCATGGCAATTTCTTATAATAAATAGGCCTAACGTTACTTATTGTCCAGCAAAAGAGGTTTCATGTAAGTTTTCCATTCTCTCTGGCTACAATGTATCTATTACTGAACGTATGAATATGGAAATGTCACCACTTGACACTTTCTCCTTCCCACTTGATTGGTTATTAAAGTGAGGTGAAGAATCTCAGGACAGCAAGATGTCAGCGCACTTTTGAAAAACGGATGTGTATTCTTATTTTACGGGTTGCTTTAAGTAGTTTTTATGTTGACAATACTGAATACGTGGTACCCAAGGAAGAGTCATATAAAGAAAACACAAGGACTCCGAGACGAGCCCCAAAATTACTTTTTATCAGGTTCGTGACTGTGCCACTGCAGCATGCTAGCTAGCTAACGAGACACTGCATGCATGACAGAATGCTAATCTAAACATGGTTGCTAGCTAGTTAGCCAGACACAAACATGCAACACTAAACGCTATTTATGTGTACTTGAAGTTTACGAAATGTATCTAGATAATATTACCAAGCTCATAGTAGCTAACGCGTTGGCTGGCTAAATCATGACGATGACCACAGTCACAGACAGTAACTTAGCTAGTTAGCTACTATTTGCTCGAATGTTCAAGCCAACCGCTAACTGCGGTAGTTTAATAGTTAGCTGTTATAGCTAACTAGATAGCTAGCTACGTGTCTGCGGTTCAGCGTGTTCTACCTAGGTAGCAGTTGAGTTGGCTGCACTAAGCAATTCAAAATGTTGTCATTTCATTTTGAACACTGCTTCATCACTGGTGTCATTGTATTTTCTAGGTATTTCACAGCATTTTATGTGAAGTGTAACACGATATCTGTAAGACATTCTCTCCCTCTCTTTCTCTGCGTTGCTCAGAAATAATACCCATGTCGAACGACTATGAAGAGAGAGCCACAATGATAGCCCCAAGGGAATTGCAGTAATTTGTCCCGTTTGGCCGTGAGGACTGCAAGGACCACCCAAACGCTGTAAACCTGCAGCTGCAGCCAGCCTCTGAGCTCAGGTCCTCAGACAGAAGGTCCCCTCCAGGATGTCACTCTACAGGAGAAGGATGCTACAGATAAATATGCATAGCTATATCTGGTATAAATGACTGGTCTGTCAGATAGCTTCCTTGCTTTGGTTCAAATAACATCTCCTTAATTGACTTATGATTTCACTTACATATTTGTCTTTAAAGTGCTGTCTGATGTGTGATGGTTCTGTTTGATACAGACAGCAGTCTTATGTAATGTTCTTTTCACTATTGTGTGTCTGTTTACAGGAATGCTGGTTGCTGAGAAAGGGTTCCAGTGTGGACAGTGATGAGATGGAGAATGAGGAGGAGCTCTATGCAGCAGGAAACATGGTCAAATGTGTGCTAGCAGCCATTTGACGTGTTCATGGTGTGTTGAATTTTGTGATGTACTACCTTGTGATGACGTCTTGAATTGTGATGTACTGTGAACATTGGTTAGATAAATCCTTATTTGTACATTTTGTCATATGTCTCCCAGTCCTGGCCATCTAAGGAGAACCAGCAGATATGGACAGTAATTATGGTGGTTTTACACAGTTATTGATATTCCCCAGGACCAGTCCATTGTCTTCTTAACCAATGGTAATGAGTGATTTGGCTCACTGACAGCTGACGAGAGGCTTCAGATTACAATGAAAAACAGCATCATGCAGTTAACGGCCTTGGCATGTATGTGTCATTATTTTTCACGTGATTGAATTTGTTTTTTTTTCCTGGTGAGTTGCGGGAAACACTGAGTAGGCCTAGGCCTATGTCGTAACATGCAGGGGAAATGATTATGCTTTCTTGGGGGCGAATTTAGCTCTTGTTAATTGGGTCCACATTTACAGACCAGATTTACGTTGGTGGATACATTTTGTAAATTTTTTTAACCAGTTGTAGTTGATAAGGCAAGACTCATGAGCCACTGTAAGACTCCACCATTATTCTACTGTTAGACTGTTGTCTCAATCATGTAAATAGGGACATGTCTTGATTCCCAACCAGAGATTCTATGAGAATGCAGACTGTCTGTTCTTTAGTGAGCCATTCAAATGTTGACTAGAGTCATGATTCACAAGATAATTAAACTTTTCTCCAACATCACCTTGAATAGGATTTCATGAAATTAAGTCCTGTGACTTTTACAAGTCTCTAATCTGTGGCCCACTAAATTTGGTCTGCTTTTGGAACGCAAAAACCCTGCATCCGATGCTCCTCCGAGTACTCCCAGGTACACGCAGTACACAGTAAAAACCCATAATACCCACTCCCAGCATTTTCTGATCCGTTTTGGTCGATGCTAGTGTGTCAGGAGTGTTTTGAACATGCCACTGTTTGTGTCTCTGTGTTCTCAGGGAACCTCTTCCTACAGTGTTCCGTATGCTGCACCCTCTGGATGAGACCAGTGGCATGCAGGTCTACAGGTGAGACTCTCAACAGAAACACACACACATAGAAATAGTCTAACACAAATCTTAAAACAAATTGTAACAGAGAATGGCGGAAAGCACCATATAAATAAACTATAATGGATGTTGAAACCTGAATGTTGGAGCCAGCATACTGTTGGCCCTCTTGCACTCCTTGACTGCTCTGATAGCTGGCTGCCGGTACCTTAATTGCTGGCCCTATTATGGCTTGTTAATTGCTCATCTCCTGTGTCTCTGGCAGGTCTGTTCGAGGCTGCCCGTATGCAGTACGTCTCTGACAGCACCATGAAAATCGTCTTCTCCAACTGCAAGCCCTCCATAGTCATGTCATAGGACACCGTGCAGGGCATACACTCAGTCACTCCAGATGTAAGATAACATGCAAGAACAGCCCCTTGTGTTAATAATGTTGCATTACTGCTTCCTTCATGATTTTTCAGTGGTAAAAAATAGAAAGTTCATGGCATAAATGGAATTGAAGAATAGAATTCTCATCATGGCATGAATGGTGACTCAAAGGCCTATCTACGATCCCTTAGAGTGGATTTAAATTGGTCTGACTGGGGCCAGGGATAGTTCACCCAAATTACAAAACGAAACATTGGTTTTCTTACCCTGTAAGCAGTCAATGAACAAGGTATCACAGCAATCCATGCTTTGGTTTTATTTCCCTGTTTTCAAATGCTAACATTTTAGAATTTGTGGCACAAATCCCATTCAAGTCATGGTACCGAGATTGGCATTATTCGCGTATCGTCCAAATCATCCGAAAGTATCTCAAATTGATTGTGACACTCAACAAAGTCCCTTGAAGATGATTTGAACATCATGTGCGATGATTATGATTAATATCGGTACCATGACTTGAATGGGATTCCATGGGATGATGCATTCTCAGGATGGGTGAGCCTAGTATGTTGATATTTGTTGCTTACTGCATTTGTTTTTACTAAACAGTACGTTCTAAATATTATGTAGTACGATTAGTACACAGTACAGTGCCCTCCACTAATATTGGCACCCTTGGTAAATCTGAGCAAAACGGGCTGTGAAGAAAAGTCTTTATTGTTTGTCCTCTTGGTCTTTCATTCAAAATATTCACAAAAATCTAACCTTTAAATAAAGTAAAATAATTGAAAGAAAAAATTAATTATTATCATAAAACAAATATTTTTCTCAAATATGTGTGCCACAATTATTGGCACCCCTTCATTCAATACTTGGTGCAACCTCCCTTTTCCAAGATAACAGCTCTGAGTCTTCTCCTATAATGCGTGATGAGGTTGGAGAACACATGGCAAGGGATCTGAGACCATTCCTCCATATAGAATCTCTCCAGATCCTTCAGATTCCGAGGTCCACGCTGATGGACTCTCCTGTTCAGCTCATCCCACAGGTTTTCTATGGGGTTTAGGTCAGGGGACTGGGATGGCCATGGCAAAACCTGGATTCTGTGGTCAATGAGCCATTTTTGTGTTGATTTTGAGGTGTGCTTTGGATCATTGTCCTGCTGGAAGATCCAACCACGGCCCAGTTTAAGCTTCCTAGCAGAGGCAGTCAGCTTTTGATTTAATATCTGTTGGTACTTGATTTAGTCCATGAGACCATGTATCCTAACAAGTTGTCCAGAGCCTTTGGAAGAAAAACAGCCCCACAACATCAAAGATCCACCACCATACTTCACAGTGGGGATGAGGTACTTTTCAGCATGTCTGTCTTTCTGTCTTCGCCAAACCGTTTCCAAAAAGCTCTATTTTGGTCTCATCTGACCATAGAACCCAGTCCCATTGAAAGTTCCAGTAACGTTTGGCAAACTAGGCGCTTGAGTTTGTTGTTTGATGACAGCAACGTTTTTTTTATGGCAACCCTCCCAAACAACTTGTGGTTATGTAGGTGGTGTCTGATTGTAGTTTTGGAGACTTTCTGACCCCAAGACCCAACTAACGTCTGCAATTCTCCAGCTGTGATCCTTGGAGATTTTTTGGCCACTCGAACCATCCTCGTCACTGTGCGTGGGGTCAATATAGACACACGTCCTCTTCCAGGCCGATTGTTAACATCTCCAGTTGCTTTAAACTTTTTAATTATTGCCCTGATAGTGGAAATTGGCATTTTCAACCGTTGAGCTATTTTCTTATAGCCATGTCCTGATTTGTGCAGCTCAACAACCTTTTGTCGCACATCATTACTGTATTCTCGGGTCTTTCCCATGGTGATGGATGACTATGGGAACTTGGCCTGTGTCACCTCATATTTATACCCCAGTGAAACAGAAAGTCATGGCTTACCATGTAAGTGTTCCTAATCACTTAGGTGAAGTTAAAAACGTAAAATATGAATGGGAATATACTTCAGTTAGATTTTACTCATAAGAATTTCTAGGGGTGCCAATAATTGTGGCACATGTTTCAGAGAAAAATATTTTTTTCAATAATTTTACTTCAATTAAAGGTTTGATTTGTATAAATATTTTGAATGAAAGACCAAGAGGATAAACCGCAAGATAATTTTTTCACAGCCTGTTTTGCTCATAAAATATTTACCAAGGGTGCCAATATTAGTGGAGGGCACTGTATGTAGTTTTAGTAAGTAGGAAAACTAACTGGGCCTCCAGTAGCTCAGTTGGTAGAGCATGGCGCTTGCAACGCCAGGGTTGTGGGTTCGATTCCCACGGGGAGCCAGTATGAAAAATGTATGCACTCTCTAAAACTGTAAGTCGCTCTGGATAAGAGCGTCTGCTAAATGACTAAAGTGTAAAAAATGTAGTAGGTAAGACACTACCCATGTAACAAATAATCGAACCCTCATCCAAACTATAGCAAATGGACCTTGCCCCTTTTTGTTTGAGCACCATTGGTCCACATTGGACTGATCTAAATTGCTAGTTGGGTCATGGGGTAGGGGCTTTCCGATGAGTTGGGACCTATTTTTCTATAATGTCGCCCGAAAATGATACACCCTACTGGTATGGAACGGTACTGACGCTCTCCTCTGAGTTCATTTCTTATATTAACTTATCTGACCCCAATCTAAAATTCATAGCAGAGAGAAGTTGAGAAAAAATAGACTTCTTGGCTCTTACAGTCAACAAAAATAAAGAAAACAAGTTGGAGTCTATCCTCCGCAAGCCGCAGAGTAGGAATACACTTTTACGTGCAGACCATAATCACCCGCTACACCTTAAGCAGAGCATATCGGTGGGTCAATTCATAAGACTGTGATGTAACTGTTCATCACAAAGCTAATGATATGCGCACCAGGTTCCTGCAATGCGGGTATGATAATAGTGCCATTGAACAGGCCTATACCCATGCTAGAGAGACTGAACGTCAAAGCCTACTCACTGGCACTAATAGAAACCAGGACAAAACGCCCCCACATTTGTGTTTTTCCACAGAGTACAGCCCATGTGCTGGTCGCGTCAAATCCATTGTATTTAAACACTGGGGCATCTTCAAAAGTGATCCAAATCTACGAGAGTTCACAACATTTCCCCCTCGCATTTGTCTTAGCCGATTACGTTACGCACAGCATGCAGCTACCCAAGAAGCGTGACACTTGGCCCCAGGCCCGCCCAATGGCAATTACAAGTGTGGCCACTGTGTACATTGTGACAACATGACCAATACTACAGTTTTTTGCCACCTGAGAACAGGTACATTATACAAAATCGAAAGCTTCATTAATTGTAGCACCACAGGAGACTGAAAAGATTTGGCATGGGTCCTCAGATCCTCAAAAAGTTATACAGCTGCACCATCGAGAGCATCCTGACTGGTTGCATCACCGCCTGGTATGGTAACTGCTCGACCTCCGACCGCGAGGCACTACAGAGGGTAGTGCGTACGGCCCAGTACATCACTGGGGCCAAGCTTCCTGCCATCCAGGACCTCTATATCAGGCGGTGTCAGAGGAAGGCCCTCAAAATTGTCAAAGACTCCAGCCACCCTAGTCATAGACTGTTCTCTCTGCTACCGCACGGCAAGCGGTACCGGAGTGCCAAGTCTAGGTCCAAAAGACTTCTCAACAGCTTCTACCCCCAAGCCATAAGACTCCTGAACAGCTAATCATGGCTACCCGGACTATTTGCACTGCCCCCCCCCCCACCCCCACCCCATCTTTTTACGCTGCTGCTACTCTGTTAATTATTTATGCATAGTCACTTTAACTCTACCCACATGTACATATTACCTCAATTACCTCAACTAGCCGGTGCCCCCGCACATTGACTCTGCACCGGTACCCTCCTGTATATAGCCTCCCTACTGTTATTTTATTTTATTTCTGCTCTTTTTTTCTCAACACTTTTTTGTTGTTTTATTTTACTTTTTTACTTAAAAAATAAATGCATTGTTGGTTAAGGGATGTAAGTAAGCATTTCACTGTAATGTCTACACCTGTTGTATTCGGCGCATGTGGCCAATAAAATTTGATTTGACAAATGTCATATACATGCTCAAATGCATCTGTGGGCTGCTTATATTGGTCAAACTAAGCAACTAAGCACTAAGCATTGAAACTGCATCGCAGAACATAAGGTTGCTATTTGTAATAATGCTATGCTATTGTGCGCCATTGTATAGAAGCCAGCCATGGCGCACCTTCCTCCATGTGCTTTGTAGCCATAGAACACATCCAAATTTCACCAAGAGGAGGTGACATCGTACGTAAACTAAAACAATGAGAGGCATTCTGGCAGTACTCCTTAGACACTGGATCCTAAGGGGCTAAACAATGATTTTTCACTGTCCTTGTTTATATAATGTTGTTGCCTTGATTTTTTGGGTGGTCTCAGTGTCTCCAGATTCACAGACACCCAAATATCACCTATGTATATTTTGACACCCAGCTTTCTGACCACACACCTGAAGAACGTCTCCAGGATGGACGCGCTCGGCTTGCCCTTCCATTGTCACGCCCTGCATAACCAAAACAGGATGACCTCATCACCAGGCCTCCACTCATGGACACACTCACCCAGCATATCCAGCATGGCTGCTCGCAGGTGAGTTTATAGCAGGAGTCTTCAGTTCTGGTTCTGGAGCGCTACAGAGTGCAGGCTTTGAGTCAAATGCCGAAATAGGATATGAATATGATATAAATAGGATATCTGCTGTCCCACAGGATTATACACAGTTTGAGTCAAACAGTTTGTCTCATTTACAACAACCACATTATGGACCATAACTAACCACCCTTCTGCTGTCTTCTGACCCATGTCTGTAGCCGGTCCCACTCCCCTAGCATGGCGGCACCCTCCTTCTCGGGCACGGTGCAGTTTAAAATGTCGTACCACTCATGTCCCCCAGAGGGCACAGCTTCCTGCCCTCTCCCAACAGCACGACCAACGAGTCTGTGCTGGTCCCAGAGATTAAGCCCATGGTGCCTGATCTATGCATTGAGCAGCTGTGGAGTGAGACGGCCTCCTCCAACAGGTCAGTGTATGACATTCACCTCTGCACAGCTGGCTACAGTGGTTGTCATGGATTCTGCTCTGTGGTCTAGTTGGCTGAACCACTCAGTTACATGTTACTGTAGGCAGGTTTCCATTGACCCAGGTTTATTAGACAAAAGCAATGTCGCATTTATTTATTTATTGCGACATGTTTAATGGAAACGGCAGATATAGGCAATATTTTCTGAAGATCGACAATTGTTATGGATTTTTCTTTTGCGACAAATCATGATGGAAACTGTGTTTTTCGATTAAATGATGATTGACGAATAATGTTGAAGGTACGCGAGCACGTGATGTCATGGCCCCAGTTGCATTTGCAAATAAATTATATTTCTGTACGTTTTCTTGGGGGTGGGTTGGGTGTGATGTCACTATGTTCAGCTGTTTTTATCGACACAAGATAGTTAAATGGAAACGCACCGCAGTAGGCAATTGTCCCATTCTGTTCCCCCTCTGCTTATCTTTGCATCTGTTTTCACGATCCCTGCTAAAGACACACCATTTAAAGCCAACCAGACTAATTGCTTTAGTGATTACGTAAAAATAGATGTATCATTTGAAAGTATCACGCACGCTGAATCAATAAAAAAACACCAACGTACATTTCTCACATATCCATGTAATCCAAAATTCACAGAAGAGAAGCTGTGAATGATGTTGTTACATTGACACAGATTACGTTCTCAAATACACTTCCATACTGATCAATGAGATAGGCGTCAGTGTATATTTTTGTACATTAACTAGATTCTACTACTTCTCTCTGGACCTAATTGAGGATTTTCTATATATTTTTTTATTTTTGGTACTTTTTACCCCTTTTTTCTCCCTAATTTTGTGATATCCAATTTGTAGTTTCAGTCTTGTCCCATCGCTGAAACTCCCGTACGGACTCGGGAGAGGCGAAGGTCGAGAGCATGCGTCCTTCGAAACACGACCCTGCCAAGCCACACTGCTTCTTGACGCACTGCTTCATCCCAAATCAGTTATTTTATTCTCAGGATATAGATGCCTTGCTAGTTCTGAAAGCCAATGGAAGCTTGGTTCTATACACTGGAGTGACACGGGTAACAAGAAAGGAGTGTTCACACTGTTTTTAAATATATATGTGTTTATCGGTGATGCAAGGTCAAATGGTCAAATCTATTTCTGTCCAAAGGTGAGCAAGGTGTTTGTCCCTGGCCTCCTGTCTCCGACCTTCAGCCTGTCTCCGACCTTCAGCCTGTCCAACCACGTAACCCACCTGGGCACTCCCATGGAGAGTGTGAGCACTCCCGCCAAGGCCACAGGGAGACACATGAGAAGAATAGAGGAGGTACCACTGAGATGGGACGGAGGTGTATAGGGTTGGTTATTAGAACGATAAGCGTAATTACATTTTACATTTTTACATTTTAGTCATTTAGCAGACGCTCTTATCCAGAGCGACTTACAGGAGCAATTAGGGTTAAGTGCCTTGCTTAAGGGCACATCGACAAATTTTTCACCTAGTCGGCTCGGGGATTAGAACCAGCGACCTTTCGGTTACTGGCACAACGCTCTTACCCACTAAGCTACCTGCCGCCCCAGAAATCTGAAATGAATGCATCCAAATAATTATGCTGCCCTCATAGAAATTAAGTCAGATTTCTATGAGCGAGTATTACCACCAAACTGACAGCAGGCAGTAACTGTTAAAGGGATAGACCTATTTACCCAGTCAGATGAACTCATGGATACCATTTAAATATCTCTGCGTGCAGTTTGAAGGAAGTTGAAGATAATTTCTGGAGCCATTGTTAACTAGCGTTAGCGCAATGACTGCTCTGAGTTCATCTGACTCTGGATAAGTAGAAAATAATAGCTTAATTGCCAACATGTCGAACTATCCCTTTAATGCAAATGTTGTAATTTCAATCTGAATTACAGTGAAGAACCCCTCCATTTAAGCTGCAGTATTAGTATTAGTCTGCATTAGAGAAGCCAATGACTGATGGAGACTATTTATAGTCCTGATCAATACTCTAATTATATTTAAAGTCCAGACTGTGTTACATGTCTGTTTTTAAGGATATAGATTGGTACAAATGAATAAACTAACAGTAGGTTAATAAATTAAATACACTGAGTGGACAAAATATTAGGAACACCATCCTAATATTGAGTTGCACCCCCTTTTGCCCTCAGAACAGCCTCAATTAGTCGGGACATGAACTCTACAAGGTATTGAAAGTGTTCCACAGTTGTGTCAAGGTGTCTGGATGTCCTTTGGGTGGTGGACCATTCTTGATACACACGGGAAACTTGAGCGTGAAAAACCCATCAGCATTGCAGTTTTTGACACAGACCAGTGCGCCTGGCACCTACTATCATACCCCATTCAAAGGCACTTCAATATTTTGTCTTGCCCATTCACCCTCTTAATGGCACACATATACAATCCATGTCTCAATTGTCCCGAGGCCTACAAATCCTTCTTTAACTTGTCTCCTCCCCTTCATCTACACTGATTTGAAGTGGATTTAACTAGTGACATCAATAAGGGATCATAGCTTTCACCTGGTTAGTCTGTGTCATGGAAAGAGCAGGTGTTCCTAATGTTTTGTACAATCTGTATCTGTTTCATTCATTATGTAATTGCTGTAGAATGTAGAGCTGAAATGGATTAGTTCCCCCCAACTTGGCACTAATCATCTTGATTGTGTACATACATCCTGGGTAGGTGTGTCGCCCTGGTGTGTGTGTGTATTGATAGGAGTGAAAGTGGGAGGGTATAATGAGTGTGTGTGTGTCTGGCTGGTTGGGGCGTGAGTACTTGGACCTCAAGGGTTGAATGTTTCTTGAATGGATGCAAATTAATCCTTTTTATGAATTAGAGAGAGAAAAGCTCAGCCTGTGTATAGAACAGAACAGAACAGAACTGAGCAACAGAGGCCTGTCGGTATGTTTACTGGGTCCAATAAGGTTACAGCTCTCTGGGTCGACATTTCTACCTGCAAGGGGTAGTTTTGTCAAGACCGGTAAAGACGTGCCGTTCAGCCAAAGGATTTTCTCTCCCAGACCTGTCAGTCATTTCCATGCCCTTCTGAGCGAACCTCTTTTGACAGATGTTTTTGAAAATATTTGTAAATGTCAAAGTCCAACTAAATAGGTTATACTGATTTAGATTTCTATCCCTTGATATCTTAATGTATGTCAAATTATTAAGCAATATGTAACTTTCAGGAGCGTTGAATGACATGTAGGATGATCCATATCTCTGATGTATTTTATTTGTAGGAGCTAAGCAACGGCACAATGCTGAGTAGAACTATCCCTGACATTTCTACCTCGGAGCTCAGTAAGGTTAACACGACAATGTGCAAAACCATTGTGTGTGACGAGATTGTACGTTGGATTCGATGTCACACAGCTGAGTCATCCAGTGTTGATGGCCTGAAAATTCGGTTTAAGTGCTGCCAACCTCCCGCTGTCACATTGACATAAACCTAAGGGGATCCCACCGTTCCTCGCTCATACCTACACACCCACCTTTCCCCTGAACACACTCAGAACCCCTCATTTTTGTAATCCACTCTGTTATTTAGCCCCCCCCCCCCCCTCCCCAAATGTCTATTGACATTTCCTAACCTACCCACTCTCATATCTCCTGGCTCACCACATGACACACAAAGCATCCACACACAAAGCATGCACACACACACACTCTACTCTCTCTGGATAAGCCATTATGAGGACGTCAACACAGCAGCTACTCCACGCCAGGCAGTTCTAGGTGCTGTTTGTTATTGTGGCATTTCCGTGCCTTAATTCAGCCCAAAACCTCTGATTGGGCCCTGGAGCGTGGTTATCCAGCTCGGTTGGGGGGACAGGGGATGCCCTGGAACATGATGTTCATGAGGGTGGAAAGGAGGCACTGGGGAATAGATGATGGAGAGATGATTCTGCTGTGTTTAATAATGACTGTAGTGTTGGTATATAATGGAAGTCTGTGTTCAGGTACATTATTGCTAGAACATAAGACCATTTCTGTCAGTAGGTGGTATATTAACCTTGGTTCCTTCCTGGCTGACGTCTTTACTCCATCTAGTAATGCCGTTAAATACACCCTTTTGTCACCCTTTTAGTGTATCTGAAGATGGGGCACTTTTTTTTGGTAATTAACTTTGTGTCTATGGCGACCTATACTGAAACCATGCATGGTTCACACAGTTTTCCGCTGGTGACTTCTGAGCATCTGCTGATGCAGCGTTATCCACCAGAACATGCATGTACTGTATAACATGCTATGGGTCGTCTTTCTACCCAGCTGTAGTCAAGCATAATAGCGTATCATTCTACACTGTAATTGAGGAAATGGAGCACTCGTGGTGTACTGGTATTTGCCTTACAACCCTAATTGGCTTGTTGTGCGTTTTTTAAGGTCTTTGGCTTTGTTTAGACCGTGAACCTCCTAGTCTTTGATCCCCTGATCTTTTGTGTTGTGAAACCATTACCAATTACCACATAGTGTTGTTCATTAGTGCCTAATTGATCCCAAAGCCGGGACTTCTCAGTCTAATTAAGTGGCATTTCTCCTTCTCTGCCTTGACCTTTTGGAGTTTGTTGTCCAATTAGAGATTGTGGGTGGAGTTAATTACCTGTCTGATTGGGTGGACCTGGGAGACATCACGGACCCTGATCATTGTGGGGTCTGGAGCCCTTGAATCCTATATGTGTAAATTCTGTAAGAAGTTGGCCCGAATCCTAACTTGAGATTCTCATGCTTAACTGTGCAGACTTTTGTGTAATTTGATGCCAATGGAATTTCAATTACGCACAATAAATATAGATATATTATTTTAACCACTCCACTGTTAAAAGAACCAACCAAAATAACACAATTATACAAATGTACATTTGCTGTGTGATAACCCAATTGATGTCATTGTGCACCGTCTTCCATATGCTTCCTCATCCCCCTGGTGTTCTTAGTGACAAAGTGCCTCTGGTGTGCTTCATCCTGCCCAAGGACACGGCCATGAAGGTGCTGGTGAAGTGGTACAACATCTACAACGCCCCCGGGGGCCCCAGCGCACAGCTGGAGTGGAACCTTTTTGTCACCTGCTTCATGACTCTCATGGGCTACAACACGGAGTGGCTGGGCTGAACACGCAATGTGAGTCGCCACGGTAACGGTGCTATCATTCACAGGAGAGGGAGTGACACAAAGTAGACAGTGCAGAGCCTGTTAGGAGGATAAGTCTTACTGAATGTACAGTATATACCCAAGTACAGTTGAAGTCAGAAGTTTACATACACTTAGGTTGGAGTCATTAAAACTCGTTTTTCAACCACTCCACAAATTTCTTTTTAACAAACTATAGTTTTGGCAAGTCGGTTAGGACATCTACTTTGTGCATGACACAAGTAATTTTTCCAACAATTGTTTACAGACAGATTATTTCACTTATAATTCACTGTATCACAATTCCAGTTGGTCAGAAGTTTACATACACTAAGTTGACTGTGCCTTTAAACAGCTTGGAACATTTCAGAAAATGATGTCATGGCTTTAGAAGCTTCTGATAGGCTAATTGACATTATTTGAGTAAATTGGAGGTGTACCTGTGGATGTATTTCAAGGTCTACCTTCAAACTCAGTGTCTCTTTGTTTGACATCATGGGAAAATCAAAAGAAATCAGCCAAGACCTCAGAAAAATAATTGTAGACCTCCACAAGTCTGGTTCATCCTTAGGAGCAATTTCCAAACGCCTGAAGGTACCACGTTCATCTGTACAAACAATAGTATGGAAGTATAAATAACATGGGACCACGCTGCCGTCATACCGCTCAGGAAGGAGACACGTTCTGTCTCCTAGAGATGAACATACTTTGGTGAGAAAAGTAGAAATCAATCCCAGAGCAACAGCAAAGGACCTTGTGAAGATGCTGGAGGAAACAGGTACAAAAGTATCTATATCCACAGTAAAACAAGTCCTATATCGACATAGCCTGAAAGGCCGCTCAGCAAGGAAGAAGCCACTGCTCCAAAACCGCCATTAAAAAGCCAGACTACGGTTTGCAACTGCACATGGGGACCAAGATCGTACTTTTTGGAGAAATGTCTTCTGGTCAGATGAAACAAAAATAGAACTGTTTGGCGATAATGACCATCGTTATGTTTGGAGGAAAAAATGGGGGCTTGCAAGCCGAAGAACACCATCCCAACGTGAAGCACGGGGGTGGCAGCATCATGCTGTGGGGGTGCTTTGCTGCAGGAGGGACTGGTGCACTTCACAAAATAGATGGCATCATGAGGAAGGAAAATGATGTGGATATATTGAAGCAACATCTCAAGACATCAGTCAGGAAGTTAAAGCTTGGTCGCAAATGGGTCTTCCAAATGGACAATGACCCCAAACATACTTCCAAAGTTGTGGCAAAATGGCTTAAGAACAACAAAGTCAAGGTATTGGAGTGGCCATCACAAAGCCCTGACCTCAATCCTATAGAAAATGTGTGGGCAGAACTGAAAAAGCGTGTGTGAGCAAGGAGGCCTACAAACCTGACTCAGTTACACCAGCTCTGTCAGGAGGAATGGGCCAAAATTCACCCAACTTATTGTGGGAAGCTTGTGGGCGGCTACCCGAAACGTTTGACCCAAGTTAAACAATTTAAAGGCAATGCTACCAAATACTAATTGAGTGTATGTAAACTTCTGACCCACTGGGAATGTGATGAAAGAAATAAAAGCTGAAATAAATAATTCTCTCTATTATTATTCGGACACTTCACATTCTTAAAATAAAGTGGTGATCCTAACTGACCTAAGACAGGGAATTTTTACTAGGATTAAATGTCAGGAATTGTGAAAAACTGAGTTTAAATGTATTTGGCTAAGGTGTATGTAAACTTCCGACTTCAACTGTACATAGAAGGGCCTCAGTCTAGGTCACACCAGTGTCACCAAAGCTGGCGCATCTCTGAAATAGATACATAGCTTATGCCACAGATGGTATGTTGCCAAGGCAACACAGGAAAGACCTATGCTGTTAATCACATGGTTAATGGGTCTGTAGCTCCACCATGCTCTTGACCTTTGTGTTCCCCCTCCACAGCTCCATTTTGAAGTGCCCCTCTCTCCTGTGATTGCACCAAAGAAGGCCCGGCCGTCTGACACGGTGTCTGATGAGGTAGGTATGGGTTACCACAAAAGCTGAGGAACATATGCACATCCAGCTACTTTATGCAGGTGATGGAGTTGTAGGTGAACTCGTGAAAAATGTAAAGGAAAATGTGCCATAGGCCATGCTGTACGTGGAAGTCATTAGATGTCACCAGTTCCTGTGACTTTCAAGCTCTGAATCCAGACGGGTTAAAAGGAGGTAGCGATGAGGGCAACTTCTGAGTGAATTTGTTTTTCTGTAATGCTTAATAGGAATACAGTAATATGTTGAGTGCATACATACAGGTAACTGACAAAATAAAGGAAACACTTCAGTAAACGAGGGATATAAAGTATATTGAAAGCAGGTGCTTCCACACAGGTGTGGTTCCTGAGTTAATTAAGCAATTAACATCCCATCATGCTTAGGGTCATGTATAAAAATGCCCAGTTGCCCATTATTTTGGCTGCCATGGCTAGAAGAAGATATCTCAGTGACTTTGAAAGAGGGCTCAAAGGAGCATAGGGGTTTTAAAGGGTGTGTCTCTCAGTCACCAGATCTCAACCCAACTGAACACTTATGGGAGATTCTGGAGCAGCGCCTGAGACAGCGTTTTCCACCACCATCAACAAAACACCAAATTATGGAATTTCTCATGGAAGAATGGTGTCCCATCTGTCCAATAGAGTTCCAGACACTTGTAGAAACTATGCCAAGGCGCATTGTTGCTGTTCTGGTGGCTCGTGGTGGCCCAACACCCTATTAAGACACTTTATGTTGGTGTTTCCTTTATCTTGGCAGTTAACTGTAGTTCACTACTTTGAAATGATTAAAACCCAAGTTGCTTAATTTTTTATTTGAAATTCTGTTCCAAGTGCAGTATAATACAGTGGGGGGAAAAAGTATTTAGTCAGCCACCAATTGTGCAAGTTCTCCCACTTAAAAAGATGAGAGGCCTGTAATTTTCATCATAGGTACACGTCAACTATGACAGACAAATTGAGGGAAAAAAGTCCAGAAAATCACATTGTAGGATTTTTAATGAATTTATTTGCAAATTATGGTGGAAAATAAGTATTTGGTCACCTACAAACAAGCAAGATTTCTGGCTCTCACAGACCTGTAACTTCTTCTTTAACAGGCTCCTCTGTCCTCCACTCGTTACCTGTATTAATGGCACCTGTTTGAACTTGTTATCAGTATAAAAGACACCTGTCCACAACCTCAAACAGTCACACTCCAAACTCCACTATGGCCAAGACCAAAGAGCTGTCAAAGGACACCAGAAACAAAATTGTAGACCTGCACCAGGCTGGGAAGACTGAATCTGCAATAGGTAAGCAGCTTGGTTTGAAGAAATCAACTGTGGGAGCAATTATTAGGAAATGGAAGACATACAAGACCACTGATAATCTCCCTCGATCTGGGGCTCCACGCAAGATCTCACCCCGTGGGGTCAAAATGATCACAAAAACGGTGAGCAAAAATCCCAGAACCACACGGGGGGACCTAGTGAATGACCTGCAGAGAGCTGGGAACAAAGTAACAAAGCCTACCATCAGTAACACACTACGCCGCCAGGGACTCAAATCCTGCAGTGCCAGACGTGTCCCCCTGCTTAAGCCAGTAGATGTCCAGGCCCGTCTGAAGTTTGCTAGAGTGCATTTGGATGATCCAGAAGAGGATTGGGAGAATGTCATATGGTCAGATGAAACCAAAATATAACTTTTTGGTAAAAACTCAACTCGTCGTGTTTGGAGTACAAAGAATGCTGAGTTGCATCCAAAGAACACCATACCTACTGTGAAGCATGGGGGTGGAAACATCATGCTTTGGGGCTGTTTTTCTGCAAAGGGACCAGGACGACTGATCCGTGTAAAGGAAAGAATGAATGGGGTCATGTATCGTGAGATTTTGAGTGAAAACCTCCTTCCATCAGCAAGGGCATTGAAGATTAAACGTGGCTGGGTCTTTCAGCATGACAATGATCCCAAACACACCGCCCGGGCAACGAAGGAGTGGCTTCGTAAGAAGCATTTCAGGGTCCTGGAGTGGCCTAGCCAGTCTCCAGATCTCAGCCCCATAGAAAATCTTTGGAGGGAGTTGAAAGTCCGTGTTGCCCAGCGACAGCCCCAAAACATCACTGCTCTAGAGGAGATCTGCATGTAGGAATGGGCCAAAATACCAGCAACAGTGTGTGAAAACCTTGTGAAGACTTACAGAAAACGTTTGACCTGTGTCATTGCCAACAAAGGGTATATAACAAAGTATTGAGAAACTTTTGTTATTGACCAAATACTTATTTTCCACCATAATTTGCAAATAAATTCATTAAAAATCCTACAATGTGATTTTCTGGAGAAAAAAAATCTCATTTTGTCTGTCGTAGTTGACGTGTACCTATGATGAAAATTACAGGCCTCTCTCATCTTTTTAAGTGGGAGAACTTGCACAATTGGTGGCTGACTAAATACTTTTTTCCCCCACTGTATTTATAGATGTATAAAAAAAAAGCAAATGACGAAGTGAAGTTGACTGTAAGGTAACCTGTAGTGCATTCATGTGGAATGTGAGTGGTGTTAAGAAAGCCATGGGCTGAAGTGACGTGACGCTGCACTGTAGCATGGAATCCTGGCAGGGGTCATGGCCCAGGTTCGGGAGTGCGCAGTTGAGATCGGGAGGAGTCGTGTAGAGTTCACCCTCTGTTACTTAAGAAAGGAAGTGCATGTAGAGGTCCTCAGGAAATGGATGATTCAGACCAGGCAAAAATATTGGTCCTTAGGAATTTAATTTAACACTGGGTGTCTGTGTGTGTCTTTGGATGTGTGTGTGTGTGTGTGTGTGTGTGTGTGTGTGTGTATATAATCCAGCAGGACTGGGACTACAGTGCTCAGACTACCACAGACAGATGGTGTTAGGACATGTGTGTGGTGCTGTGAGTCTGAAGTCTACCGAAACCTCTGGTTGTGAACAGTCTTCCTGCCCTGCGTCTGGACCCCTCTGCCCCGCTCTTCCCCCCACATCCCAGCCCCTGTATGTGCTGCACCTGCTCTATGAGGAGCTGAAGATGGACGAGGAGCGGGGGAGCGGGGGAGCGGGGCGGCGATCACTGGTGGGCCTCCTGCAACAGCTGGCCAGGTACTGGATGTTCTGTGTCTTGACAATCGGAAACCCAGAAATCTTGCTTAATTGCGTCAGATGCTTGATTAGGTTCTGGGGGGAGATGTATGAGAAAAGCTACTAACCAGTCTAGTGAAGTCTCCACCCCCCTAAATGAAACTCTCAGTCAAAGAATGGGCCACTCTCCTTCCGGAATTCGAAAGCTGCGAAAACCTGCAAAATCGTGATTTGTCCAAATGATCAGTGACTAATAATCGGTGTTAGTCGTCGCATCCCACAGTCTGTTGACAGACGTTACGATACCATCCTATTGTTACGTGCGTCTGTCCACGAGTGATAAACTCTCAAATGACCTCTGAATGGCTGACGCAAACTAAAGCAGGTCGCAGGTACATATTTTTAATTAATCTATTCAATTCAGTACAAACACAACAATTTTCATGAAGCTCTTAAACATTTAAATTAAAAAGTATGCCTGATGAAGCACTGCTCAATGAAACCAGATGAATATGATCTTGTAAAACGTGTATATTAACAGGATTAGAAAATGGCATTAAAAGGTTTCAAGTAAGTCAAGTGGCCTTTTCAGCAGTCCCATTGACATTTTAAAAGAAGAGCTGAAGTGGTAGAATCAACTGGCACTTGAATTGCTTAGCCGTTATTTGGGCCTTGTTTAGTGTCCTGGTCATTTAGTGTTACCAGGCTGGTAGACACAACAGTTAGTGCTTCAGCCAATAGAGTACAACAGTATGATTCATAATACCCATAACAGGGAAACAGTTCCAATCGTTTTTCCTCCATTCATTCTTCCCATAGGGGATTTTAGAAACACTTAAAATAAGGGCTGTGTTTTGTGTAGGCTTACCCTGGCGTGACGTTTTGATAACCGTGCAAACCTTTCTAAGACAAGGTGACTTTTTATCAATATATTCACCTTTTTTTCATTGTCATTGCTATACATACTGTATAAAGAGTTACAGTAGCTAAACTAAAGCACAAACCAATCTGGCAACCCGGCTAGGCCTGTGTGGCAATGACCTCACTACAGCTAACCCAGCCTGAAACCCCCACATTACAAGCAGAAGTATTAGTGGGTCTTAAATAGGGTTGTTACGGTTACCGTATTACCGCCACACTGGCGGTCACGAGCCATGACCGCAGTCAAATTCCGCGTGACCGTTTATTCATGGTAACTAGGCTTCTCCAAGCTCTGATGCTGATCATTAGTAGCCTACCAAACATGATAACTGCCGTGTACTCAGCACTCTATTGTCCCTCTAATCACTCTGACATCAATGCAAATGTATTTGAAAATCAAATCAAGCACTTCATGAGAGCCCATGGGCTCATGTTGCGCAATATTTTTATAGGCAATGCAATTGCATGAGAAAACAGAGTTTTGATGGCCTCTATTAAAAAGAGGATCCCATCTGCTTTCTATAGGCTAGGCCTACTATATTTATTTATTTATCAACTTTCCTAATATTAAGCACATTGCTTCACTTTACAACAGGAGTATAGCCTACCTGGCTGGTATGAAAATGAACCACGGGAAAAGCTCCTCCATTCGCTATTTAAGTGCATATATGACATATTTTTTCCCCCATGCCCCTGTTCCGAGACAGGTGCATGGTAATGGTCCATTCTAAATAAAAACGAATTTAACACATGTATTATTTAGTCTGATGGGTGAAAATATTAGCCTATCACTTGTGAATGATGTATTATCACTTGTAAATGATGCCCAGCGTGTGCAGCAAGGCAAGAAACAGCGCATGCCTTTTTTTGGCTACTTTCTCAAATCATAGTTGCACACCACACAGTGCATTCGGAAAGTATTCAGACCCCTTGACTTTTTCCACATTTTGTTATGTTACAGCGTTATTCTAAAATGGATTAAACATTTTTTTCTCATCAATCTACACACAATACCCCATAATGACAAAGTGAAAACAGGTTTTTAGAAATGTTTGCAATTCTATAAAAAATGTAAAACAGAAATACCTTATTTACATAAGTATTCAGACCCTTTGCTATGAGTCTCGAAATTGAGCTCAGGTGCATCCTGTTTCCATTGATCATCCTTGAGATGTTTCTACAACTTGACTGGAGTCCACCTGTGGTAAATTCAATTGATTGGACATGATTTGGAAAGGCACACACCTGTTTATATAAGGTCCCACAGTTGACAGTGCATGTCAGAGCAAAAACCAAGCCATGATTTCAAAGGAATTGTCCGTAGAGCTCCGAGACAGGATTGTGTCGAGGCACAGATCTGGGGAAGGGTACCAAAACATTTCTGCAGCATTGAAGGTCCCCAAGAACACATTGGCCTCCATCATTCTTAAATGGAAGAAGTTTTGAACCACCAAGGCTCTTCTTAGAGCTGGCAGCCCGGACAAACTGAGCAATCAGGGGAGAAGGGCCTTTGTCAGGGAGATGACCAAGAACCCGATGGTCACTCTGACAGAGATCCAGAGTTCCTCTGTGGAGATGGGAGAACCTTCCAGAAGGACAACCATCTCTGCAGCACTCCACCAATCAGGCCTTTATGGTAGAGTGGCCAGACGGAAGCCACTCCTCAGTAAAAGGCACATGACAGCCCGCTTGGAGATTGACAAAAGGCACCTAAAGACTCTGACAATGAGAAACAAGATTCTCTGGTCTGATGAAACCAAGATTGAACTCTTTGGCCTGAATGCCAAGCGTCATGTCTGGAGGAAACCTGGCACCATCCCTAGGGTGAAGCATGGTGGTGGCAGCATCATGCTGTGGGGATGTTTTTCAGCGACAGGGACTGTGAGACTAGTCAGGATCGAGGGAAAGATGAACGGAGCAAAGTAGAGAGAGATACTTGATGAAAACCTGCTCAAGAGCTCTCAGGACCTCAGACTGGGGCGAAGGTTCACCTTCCAACAGGACAACGACCCTAAGCACACAGCCAAGACAACGAAGGAGAGGCTTCGGGACAAGTCTCTGAATGTCCTTGAGTGGCCCAGCCAGAGCACGGACTTGAACCCAATCGAACATCTCTGGAGAGACCTGAAAATAGCTATGCAGCGACGCTTCCCATCTAACCTGACAGAGTTTGAGAGGATCTGCAGAGAAGAATGAGAGAAACTCCCCAAATACAGGTGTGCCAAGCTTGTAGCGTCATACCCAAGAAGACTCAAGTCTGTAATCGCTGCCAAAGGTGTTTCAACTAAGTACTGAGCATATAGATTGCAAAATAGTTGGGAAGAGATTTTTGACGTACCGATCCCATGGCATAGTGTTTATGAACTGACACGCAAAATGACACCGGATTCAAAAATTAGAATCTTTCAATTTAAATTAATATATAAAATTCTTGCTACCAATAGAATGTTATTTATATGGGGGATACAATCTTCCCAGCACTGCAGATTTTGCTGTGAGGAGACAGAATCATTGGATCATTTGTTTTGGTTCTGTCCATTTGTAGCTTGTTTTTGGACACAGGTCCAGGAATGGCTAAAGGATTGCAATATTTACCTGGAGCTAACCTTGCAGATAGCATTACTGGGTGATCTGAAAAGTCATAGTCAATCGATCAATTATATAATAATACTTTTAGCAAAGATGTTTATTTTCAATTCACAATCTGTAGAAGCAATGATAATAGAAAGGTTCAGAACTTTTGTAAAACATCACAGTACGGTTGAAATATATATGGCAAATAGAAATCCTATATGGATGGTGTTAAGAGATAGATGGGAGGTATTGAATGGAGTTGAAGGATGGGACTAATAACAAATAACAACAAATAATAACAAGATAACTAATAATGTAAGCATACTGTGTCCATAATAAGTATATAGGTTGTATGTTGGGAGCTTTTGGGAAAGAGCACAGTTAGAAAGATATGGCATATAGAAGCAAACCGGATGGACATCATGAAAATGATCGGAGAGGTTGAGAGTAGAAGAAGTTCAGGAGCAAAAACAAATAAAATATAATTATTGTAAAATGAACTGTGTCCATAAGATGTAGATAGTAAGTATAGGCTGGAAGTAGAGGGCATTGTTGTTCACAAATTTACCCCAAGTAGGGAAAGGATGGCGGGGTTGAAAAGGAATAAAGGGGAGTGTATATATATATATATATATATAAAAAACAAGGGGGATTGGAAGTGATGCAGAAAATTACATTGATGGAAGTTACAATCTATCTGCAATATTAAGCTGATCTACCCCCCCCCAAAAAAAATGGATTTATTGTGATGGTGTAGGCTATATTAAATAGATTTATTAGACTTTTTAAAATGTAGATGTTCCAGAGTTCTGCATCAGTGGCTTGTAGGCTATGCGTGGAAGCCAGGAGATGCTAAACGTGTTTATGTTAATTAATAGTAAATTACCGTGAGACCTGCTTTACAATCACCGGCTGACAAAATGTCATGACCGCGACAGCCCTAGTCTTAAACAAATCAGAACAGCTATTTGCTTGGCTTGCTGTGTTGTTGAGCTGGCTGTGTATAGTGGTTCATGATGAGGGTAGAGCTACTCGGGTATCAAAAGTGTTGATTAAATTACTCTTATGGCACACTGCTAATTGTTGTACTGTTTATTAATAGGGATCTGCAGCTGGAGAAGTGTATCAATCTGTACTGGCGAGATTACCCCTCATTCAACACCATGTTCAAGGGGACCTGCATCATAAATCACGGCAAAAGGCAAATCACCTCCTCTACAGGGTGTGTAGTCCCCTTTGCACACGGAGAAGAGAGGGCAAGGCTACTACTTTTGTTCTCCCTGATGGACACAGAAAAAAAACCAGATTGCTCGTTGTGATTGAAATGATGGTCTGACTCCGAGTGATAAGGACAGATGTCTGTTGTCATGGTCACAGTCTGTAGTCACGGAGCCTGTTGTGACCGTTTGACTGATGGCCCCCGTGGCCCCACTCTCCTGCAGCCCAGATGATGCGTCCAAGCTTCCTGAGGGTGGAGCCTCCCTGTGTTCAGCAGGCTCAGCAGCTTTCTGAGGGGAGAGGAGGCAGCACCCTTCCCCCTTCCTGCCCAGCATCTGTGAGAGGACCAATCATCATCGTTGTTTATTATCATACACTGTTTCTACCTTTGCCTCATGATGACAAGGGAAGGAAATATACAGAGCCATATACAGTGGGGGAAAAAAAGTATTTAGTCAGCCACCAATTGTGCAAGTTCTCCCACTTAAAAAGATGAGAGGCCTGTAATTTTCATCATAGGTACATGTCAACTATGACAGTCAAATTGAGGAAAAAAAATCCAGAAAATCACATTGTAGGATTTTTAATGAATTTATTTGCAAATTATGGTGGAAAATAAGTATTTGGTCACCTACAAACAAGCAATATTTCTGGCTCTCACAGACCTGTAACTTCTTCTTTAAGAGGCTCCTCTGTCCTCCACTCGTTACCTGTATTAATGGCACCTGTTTGAACTTGTTATCAGTATAAAAGACACCTGTCCACAACCTCAAACAGTCACACTCCAAACTCCACTATGGCCAAGACCAAAGAGCTGTCAAAGGACACCAGAAACACAATTGTAGACCTGCACCAGGCTGGGAAGACTGAATCTGCAATAGGTAAGCAGCTTGGTTTGACGAAATCAACTGTGGGAGCAATTATTAGGAAATGGAAGACATACAAGACCACTGATAATCTCCCTCGATCTGGGGCTCCACGCAAGATCTCACCCCGTGGGGTCAAAATGATCACAAGAACGGTGAGCAAAAATCCCAGAACCACACAGGGGGACCTAGTGAATGACCTGCAGAGAGCTGGGACCAAAGTAACAAAGCCTACCATCAGTAACACACTACGCCGCCAGGGACTCAAATCCTGCAGTGCCAGACGTGTCCCCCTGCTTAAGCCAGTACATGTCCAGGCCCGTCTGAAGTTTGCTAGAGTGCATTTGGATGATCCAGAAGAGGATTGGGAGAATGTCATATGGTCAGATTAAACCAAAATATAACTTTTTGGTAAAAACTCAACTCGTCGTGTTTGGAGGACAAAGAATGCTGAGTTGCATCCAAAGAACACCATACCTACTGTGAAGCATGGGGGTGGAAACATCATGCTTTGGGGCTGTTTTTCTGCAAAGGGACCAGGACGACTGATCCGTGTAAAGGAAAGAATGAATGGGGCCATGTATCGTGAGATTTTGAGTGAAAACCTCCTTCCATCAGCAAGGGCATTGAAGATGAAACGTGGCTGGGTCTTTCAGCATGACAATGATCCCAAACACACCGCCCGGGCAACGAAGGTGTGGCTTCGTAAGAAGCATTTCAAGGTCCTGGAGTGGCCTAGCCAGTCTCCAGATCTCAACCCCATAGAAAATCTTTGGAGGGAGTTGAAAGTCTGTGTTGCCCAGCGACAGCCCCAAAACATCACTGCTCTAGAGGAGATATGCATGTAGGAATGGGCCAAAATACCAGCAACAGTGTGTGAAAACCTTGTGAAGACTTACAGAAAACGTTTGACCTGTGTCATTGCCAACAAAGGGTATATAACAAAGTATTGAGAAACTTTTGTTATTGACCAAATACTTATTTTCCACCAAAATTTGCAAATAAATTCATTAAAAATCCTACAATGTGATTTTCTGGAATTTTTTTCTCATTTTGTCTGTCATAGTTGACATGTACCTATTATGAAAATTACAGGCCTCTCTCATGTTTTTAAGTGGGAGAACTTGCACAATTGGTGGCTGACTAAATACTTTTTTCCCCCACTGTATATCGCTCTGGAAATATATACAATACACTTTTTTTCCCAAGAGATAATGGCCATGTATGGGGGAGTTTAGAGTTGGCTTGCGATATCAACATCTCCAGTAGGGGGTGCCACTGACAACTGAAAACCCTGCAAAGGAATTTGCATTTACAGTGAGGGGAAAAAAGTATCCCCTGCTGATTTTGTATGTTTGCCCACTGACAAAGAAATGATCAGTCTATAATGTTAATGGTAGGTTTATTTGAACAGTGAGAGACAGAATAACAACAAAAAAATCCAGAAAAACGCATGTCAAAAATGTTAAATTCATTTGCATTTTAATGAGAGAAATAAGTATTTGACCCCCTCTCAATCAGAAAGATTTCTGGCTCCCAGGTGTCTTTTATACAGGTAACGAGCTGAGATTAGGAGCACACTCTTAAAGAGAGTGTCTCCTGAGTGGCGCAGTGGTCTAAGGCGCTGCATCGCAGTGCTAACTGTGCCACTAGAGATCCTGGTTCGAATCCAGGCTCTGTCGCAGCCGGCCGCGACCGGGAGACTCATGGGCGGCGCACAATTGGCCCAGCGTCGTCCAGGGTAGGGGAGGGAATGGCTGGCAGGGATGTAGCTCAGTTGATAGAACATGGCGTTTGCAACGCCAGGGTTGTGGGTTTGATTCCCACGGGGGGCCAGTATAAAAAAATATGTATTCACTAACTGTAAGTCGCTCTGGATAAGAGCGTCTGCTAAATGACTAAAATGTAAATGTATAAAAGACACCTGTCCACAGAAGCAATCAATCAATCAGATTCCAAACTCTCCACCATGGCCAAGACCAAAGAGCTCTCCAAGGATGTCAGGGACAAGATTGTAGACCTACACAAGGCTGGAATGGGCTACAAGACCATCGCGAAGCAGCTTGGTGAGAAGGTGACAACAGTTGGTGCGATTATTCGCCAAATGGAAGAAACAGAAAATAACTGTCAATCTCCCTCGGCCTGGGCCTCCATGCAAGATCTCACCTCGTGGAGTTGCAATGATCATGAGAACGGTGAGGAATCAGCCCAGAACTACACGGGAGGATCTTGTCAATGATCTCAAGGCAGCTGGGACCATAGTCACCAAGAAAACAATTGGTAACGCACTATGCCGTGAAGGACTGAAATCCTGCAGCGCCCACAAGGTACCCCTGCTCAAGAAAGCACATATACAAGGCCGTCTGAAGTTTGCCAATGAACATCTGAATGATTCAGAGGAGAACTCAGTGAAAGTGTTGTGGTCAGATGAGACCAAAATCGAGCTCTTTGGCATCAACTCAACTCGCCGTGTTTGGATGAGGAGGAATGCTGCCTATGACCCCAAGAACACCATCCTCACCTTCAAACATGGAGATGGAAACATTATGCTTTGAGGGTGTTTTTCTGCTAAGGGGACTGGACAACTTCACCGCATCAAAGGGACGATGGACGGGGCCATGTACCGTCAAATCTTGGGTGAGAACCTCCTTCCCTCAGCCAGGGCATTGAAAATGGTTCGTGGATGGGTATTCCAGCATGACAATGACCCAAAACACACGGCCAAGGCAACAAAGGAGTGGCTCAAGAAGAAGCACATTAAGGTCCTGGAGTGGCCTAGCCAGTCTCCAGACCTTAATCCCATAGAAAATCTGTGGAGGGAGCTGAAGGTTTGAGTTGCCAAACGTCAGCCTCAAAACCTTAATGACTTGGAGAAGATCTGCAAAGAGGAGTGGGACAAAATCCCTTCTGAGATGTGTGCAAACCTGGTGGCCAACTACAAGAAACGTCTGACCTCTGTGATTGCCAACAAGGGTTTTGCCACCAAGTACTAAGTCATGTTTTGCAGAGGGGTCAAATACTTATTTCCCTCATTAAAATGCAAATCAATTTATAAAATTTTTGACATGCATTTTTCTGGATTTATTTGTTGTTATTCTGTCTCTCACTGTTCAAATAAACCTACCATTAAAATTATAGACTGTTCATGTCTTTGTCAGTGGGCAAACGTACAAAATCAGCAGGGGATCAAATACTTTTTTCCCTCACTGTACATCAGGGATCATCAACTAGATTCAGCTGTGGGACAAATTATTTTCTTTTTTCTTGAGCGAATGGTCAGGGGGCCAAAACATAAATGCAAATAATTTGTAGAATGCAAATTGACTCAATAAGCCCAAACAGATATATTTGACTAAAACAATCATTTCAAACCTTACTTACATTTGTATACAATCATATATCTCTGCATTATGCGTGGGAATACGTTCTAACAGATTTCCTAAATTAAAATCACTTGGAGCTGATATGCTGTTTGTTTTTTTAACATTCTTATTGCTGCCAGTTGGGGAACCCTGATTTACATTGTCCTTGGTGTGAGGTAAGTAGACATAACCTTTGGCTTGGTTAGCTACAGCACAGCTAGATGACCTCACGACATGACTGACATGGTACATAAATTCTGTTTTGACAATAAATGGTTTCTGGATATTTTGAGTGACCAATGTCAACACATAGTCATCCGTGTTCTAAATAAACATGCTACTCCCTGGGTTGATTGGAAGTCCCCTAGCACCCGTGGAGCCAATGGCAGGTCGTGCTCTAATAGGATTTCCTTTTTAAAAGGGGTCATCAAGCATTAACACGCATGCTCTGTTTAAATGTCAAATAGCTATGATATAAAGCTTCATGCCAATCAGAGAGGGAGAGACGGAAGCATTTTTGCTGTGTGTAAAGACAGAGGGAATGTATGTGTGAGAGTAAGAGACTGTGTGTGTGTGTGTTTGACACAGCGAGTGTGTGTCTGTGTACTCTACTATAATTAAGCCCTGGTCGGATGTAGGGCTGAATTACAGGTGGGTGGGGTGGAGGAGGCTGTTCTGTGCTGATGACCAGGCCTTGTGCGTCTCCTCCCGTCAGGCTAAGTGAGGTGACTCATGTCACTGCTGAGAGACTGACAGCCTGTCATACAATTACAGAATCTATTTACCTCATCACTGTCTCTCTCTCGCTTACGCCTTCAATCTCTATCTCGCTTACTCTGTGTCTCTCACTCCCTCTCTCTCTCTCACTCCCTCTCTCTCTCTCACTCCCTCGCTCTCTCTCACTCCCCAACTCTCTGTCTGTCTCTCTCAACAGACCAGACGCTGACGTTTGTTTCTCTGTCTTCTTCTGCCTCTTTCGCTCCCTCCCCCTCTCAAAGCTACGCCCTGTACATCATTGGAGATGGCAATGCCACTTCAGTTGGATGTTTCAAAGTATTTGGCTAAGCTCTCTGCAGGTGGGTTTCTGTGTGTGTGTGTGTGATTAATGAACAGTATGCCCCAAGATTCCCTGTGACATGCCTTACACATGCCCACATGTCTCCGACATGCTTGTCACAGCGGTCAGTCACTGACAAGGTTGAAAGGCGTTTGTACCATGTCCATCCTGTTTTTTTTAATGTAAAGAGTTCATTTGGCCATTGTTATGATGCAAAATGCATGTATTTTGAAAGTTATAGATCTTGAAAACTTCATTGCTAACAAGCTGAACATTTTGGGACTATATCAACAATGGACTAATGAAACAATTACCAAAATATCATTTTTGGGTGGAAGTTCCCTTTAAGTCTCCAAATAAATATTATTTGGCATTTTGGAAAGAAGTATGCATTCTGGTGATGATTGTGAGGCTGAAAGGCCTCTTGGCTTCTTTTGTCGTTCCCCTGTTTTCTCTGATGACCCATTTCACACTTCCTGTTCTGTGACAACTGACCTACAGCCCTCACATGGCATCTCTCATCTCTCTCTCACAGGCCAGAAAACTGTAATTGCAGCAGCTTTGAGGAGGTGAAAACCTACCTGGAACACATTTAGCCTGAATCAGTTCATTCTTACAGACTCTTGATTCCCCTATAAAGCCACAAGAAGAGTTCACTCACTTTATGTCCCTCTAGTAATAGTAACAACTACGAACTAGACTCTTGTGCTAAGGTTTTAACCATGCTTTTCCAACGTAAGACTTCATTTTCACTGTCAACTCTACACGTTTGTAATACCTGTTTCTTTTCCAGACATAGCCGTATGAAGCCTGACGCTCCAAATAAGTTTGTCTGAAAAGCTTGTTGTTTGGCTAACATCAGCAGGTAAGACTCTACATTAGGCCTAGAAACATCTCCACAGCCTGTCTAATGTTGCTTTGTTATAGAGACTTTGCTAGTGTGAGACTCTTACATTAATGTGTTGTGTTTAGGTTTCACATTGAAAGACCTGGAATCCGCGCTCTTTGGTGTGGCTCTGCTCATCAGATGCGATCTACCAGTGTCGAGAGTAACTCTGCTCTGACTGGTCAGAGGATGTCTGCCTGTTGATTGGGTGAAAGGACCTCACCAAGAAAGCACACAAAGTGACCGTGGCCAAATGCAAAGCTGTAAGTTTGAGTTTTGGGGGTTATTGGACAGTTTGGGCTTCGTCCTTTACAACCTTGTGGATTTGGAGTTAATGTTTGTCTGTTTTGTGTGTGTGCGCATTCAGACGGTGGGTCCGGTGCTTATGCTGGAGGCTCCAGCCTCCACAGACGCAGACAAGGAGGTTGTTATGACTGATCTGAACCAGGATGTGATTGGTCTCATCTGGAGCCAGGACCTGCATGTCCAGGAGGCCAGATGTCTCCTCCAGAGCTCCCGACCAGTCAGGCTCAGCGTGGTCCACCTGGCTGAGGTCAGCGACCACGAGGACGTAGAGGAGAAGGAGAACAAGTGAGTATCGTTCAAGTGATGGCAGCTATCCTAGATTATCTCATTCAAAAGCAGACTGGCCCAGGTTATAGACAATATCCATTAATAATCTGAATAGTTTCAAGCATGTACTGTAGGTGTGCTCTGTAGTTAGCATTTGGTCTGTAGTTGTGCTGACTGTTGTTCTGATGTCCCTCCCTCCTTCCTTCCCTCCCTCCCTCCCGGCAGAGACCTGTTCACCATCTTCTCCTACCACCCTGTGTCAACAGAGCCCCTACCAGTGTTCAAACTCAACCTTACTGGTACTGTATCCCTCAGGCTTTTCTCATACCTGTGTGTGTGTGTCAGTCTGAGAGGAGGTGTCTGTGTAGGGTGTCCAATCAAAAATGCATATTTTGACCAATGGGTAAAATAAAGTTAATTGTGTAAATAATCCTCTATGAAAACCAACGGTCCAAACCTCAAGTCTCTATCATAATCTGTTCAAAACTTATTGGAGTTTTTACCCTGTCACGCCCTGGCCGTGAGAGGCCGGTTGTCTTTAGTTGGTTTGGTCAGGGCGTGAGGATCTATGTTAGTATTTCTATGTTTAGGATCTAGATGTGTATTTCTGTTTGGCCGGGTGTGATTCCCAATCAGAGGCAGCTGTCACTCGTTGTCTCTGATTGGGGATCATACTTAGGTAGCCCATTGCCTACTGTGTATTGTGGGATCTTGTTCCTGTTAGGCTGGTGTGTGTATAGCCCTTTGGACTTCACGTTACGTTGTTTCTTGTTTTGTTTATTGAGTTTAATAAACATGTACGCTTTTCACGCTGCACCTTGGTCTGACCCGTCTCTCAACGATCGTGACAGAAGATCCCACCAAACGAGGACCAAGCAGCGTGGCCAGGAGCGGACATCCTGGACATGGGAGGAGATCCTGGATGGTAAGGGATCTTGGACATGGGAGGAGATCCAGGCTGGGATGGATCACCGTCCTTGGGAACAGACAGAGGAGGCCCGGGTTAGAGAGGAGCAACGGCAACACAGAAGGTGCCGGCCGAGGAGGAAGCCCGAGAGACAGCCCCAATACATTTTTTGGGGGGGGGGGCTAAAAGGGTGGTCGGGGATCGATAGAGAAGAGCCCCGACCACTGCACTCGTGGGGGCTCAAGGAGGAGTCCTCACTGGAGGAGGACTGGGCGCGGAGAGTAAAAGACTGGTACAGTCAGAGATCTCTAATGACAGTTCCCAGTCCAGTACGGCCCGTCCCTGCTCCTCGCACCAAACCAGTGGTGCGTGTTCCCAGTCCAGTCCGGTACGGCCCGTGCCTGCTCCCCGCACCAAACCAGTGGTGCGTGTCGCCAGCCCGGTACGCCCCATTCCTGTTCCTCGCACCAAACCAGTGGTGCGTGTATCCAGTCCAGTACGGCCCGTACCTACTCTCGCACCAAACCGCCGGTGTGTGTCGCCAGCCCGGTACGCCCCGTACCTGCTCCCCGCACCAAGCCAGTGGTGCGTGTTCCCAGTCCGACCCGGCCCGTTCCTGCTCCTCGCACCAGACCTGTGGTGCGTGTTCCCAGTCCGGCCCGGCCTGTTCCACCGGTGCCTGGTCCAGCAACGGTCAGCGGCTTCATTCCGGAGTCAGAGCATTTCGCTCCACCGGGGTCCAGTCCAGCTCCGGTCAGCGGCTCCACTCCGGAGCCAGAGTATTCCGCTCCACCGGGGTTCAGTCCAGCTCCGGTCAGCGGCTCCACTCCGGAGCCAGAGCAGTCCGCTCCACCGGTGCCCAGTCCAGCTCCGGTCAGCGGATCCATTCCGGAGACAGAGCAGTCTGCTCCACCGGTTTCTTGTCCAGCTCCGGTCAGCGGTTCCACTCCGGAGCCAGAGCAGTCCGCTCCACCGGGGTCCAGTTCAGCTCCGGTCAGCGACTCCACTTCAGACCCAGAAGTCAGCCCCTCTCCAGGGTCGGGGCCTCCCACACCAGGGTCCAGACAGGGCTTGGTGCATCGCGGGAGGATTGCCGATCCAGGCCCAGACGTCAGCCCCTCTCCAGGTTTGGGGTCTCCCACACCAGAGTCCAGACAGGGCTTGGTGCATCGTGGGAGGAAAGAGAGTGGAAGCATCGCGCCTAGTTAGTTAGTTGGTTTGGTCAGGGCGTGAGGATCTATGTTAGTATTTCTATGTTTAGGATCTAGATGTGTATTTCTATGTTTGGCCGGGTGTGATTCCCAATCAGAGGCAGCTGTCGCTCGTTGTCTCTGATTGGGGATCATACTTAGGTAGCCATGTTGCCTACCTTAGTTGTGGGATCTTGTTCCTGTTAGGCTGGTGTGTATAGCCCTTTGGACTTCACGTTACGTTGTTTCTTGTTTTGTTTAATGAGTTTAATAAACATGTGCGCTTTTCATGCTGCACCTTGGTCTGACCGGTCTCTCAACGATCGTGACATACCCGTGTAGGATGGCCAGAATTAGGGTGACTAAATCAATGAAGTGTTTTCATATTTTAGTATATGCTTTTCATATTAATTCGAAATCGCTGTTCTTTTTCAAAGATTTCTCACAAAACGAGCGTATCGCTGTGAAATGTCAACGGAGCACTGAGTGTATACCAAGCTTTTAATTTTCAAAGCCTTTTAAATTTAATTCAGCTCCTTTCACGCCCATTTAGCTTTTTGTGACCCCCGGAAACAACTTTATGGAAGACCACCTCAACATGTAAAATCCTCAAGTCACTGCCAGAAAGCGATACCGCTCCGTCAACAGCTTGGTGCTTATTATAGGATGTATTAGGGAACGAAATCCGACTTTTTGGATATAATATTAATGATATGTTAGAGAAAGACCCCACTGAATGATTCAGAACATGAAGAAAATCATATTTGTCTTGGTAAAATGTATTTTTATAAAATAAGAAAGTGAAATTTCGTCACCAAAGCGTGTTTTACACCCACTCCGGGCAGAGTGGGTGGACACCTAGTCTGTGTCTTCAAACACGTTTACAGAACTAGTTATGTCAAAGCATCAAATACAGGAGTATGTTGTTTTTCCTTTGAAGGGCTTTGAAGATCTGAGTAAAAAGGCTCTATATAAGTTCCATTTCTGGATGCGTTTGAACAGCAGCCCACAAGAAGCCACACAAAAGGCTCACTTCAGTAAGTCTGGAGCCATCATTCCAGCTGGTTTTTCAGTGTGTTGTGTTTTAGGGCAAGGGAAATATTGCAATGTGTGTGATCACTGTCCTGAGAAGCAGAAACGTATTTAGAGCCCGGCAGGCCATGTTTACATTGGTCTTTGGTGGCAATGTGATTGTGGTCTAAATGTAAGTCGAGAATGCATGCGTGTAGGATTGGTCACAACCTGATATGGAGTCTTGTGGTAGATCTGAACAGTGGGAACATTGACCTTCCTCCCAAAAAGACGAGCTGGTCCAGCTTTCACAACGGGGTGGCTGCAGGCCTGAAGATCGCCTCAGCCTCCCAGGTAGACTCTGCCTGGATGGCCTACAACAAACCCAAGAGCCTCGATCAGGCCAACGAGTACACAGGCTTCCTCATGGCTCTGGGCCTCAACAGGCACCTCAGCAAGCTGGCCACACTCAACATACATGTCTACTTCACCAAGGTGAGTGTGCATGCAAACACATACAGTCACACACAATTACAGTATCTCACATACACACACAGTCACACACACACACACACACACAGTCACACACACACGTTTTCGCTAACCACAAACCAAGTCACTTCTGCAGCCCTCATTCTGAGAAAGGCCAGTGAAGCCACCAGCTGCTCTGGGGTTGAGTAAAGTTTTTCTCATTAATTGTTTTTAAGCTTCACTAGATTGCATTGGTTTTAGAAGAATTCGTCTCTCAGCATCCTGTTATTTTTCTCACATGAAAGTGGGAAGGCCTCTGTGCGCTCAGAGGAGAGTTTCACTTTGACTTATCCCTGGCAGTGACGCATAGCAACTTTCTCATTTCTACTAAAGAAGGCCACGTGGTCATATCTAACACATCTGTCAGCTCAGGAAATATCAGCGGTTATTTACTAGAATATATAGTAGTATGTTTTACTACTATTCTCGTTCTTGCTAGCATGTCATCTGTGCCAGGAAAGATAAGCTGATATTTGACCACAGCAACGTGTTAACTTTTTAAAAGTCTGCTGCTGGTACTGTTATGGTCTAATACAGCAGCCCTTGATAGGTCAAAATGAATGTTGAATGATTTAAGTATGAAAGGGGTCAGCTGATTTATGCAAAATGAGTACTTTGAAATGTTCTCATTAGTTTCCTTTATGTCATTGTGTGATGATGGAGAAAACAACTACTTTGATGCAGTGTAGTTTGGATCCTCCAAAAAGAGGAATAGGGCGAAAAATTGTCCTCACTCAGCATATGTTGAGCAAAGAGCTGTGATCTGTTATAACCTTGTTGTTTTATACCCGCTCCACATTCAGCCCTACACAGTCACTCATTCAACTCATAATCTCTCTATTAAACAAGTGAACCCCGCTAAGTAGGAAGTCCATGGGGGACTAATGAAAATGGCTGCCAGTGTGTCCTCAGGGCCATGAGATGACCAGCATCGGGCAGCTACTGGGTGTGTCTGGAGCCAAGCTGAGCACCATGGACATGTCAATCACCCGCCTGTTGAGTATCCACATCCCCGCACTGCTCCCACCCACCTCCACTGACCTGGACGTACCGCACAACGTGCAGGTGGCGGCCATGCTGGGCATCGGCCTGGTCAACCAGGACACGGGCCACCGCCACAACGCAGAGGTGTGCTCGCCTGAGATCGGTTAGTAAGAGCTACGTCCTGAATGATTTACGTTGTTTTGTTGTCCCATAGGGATATTTAATTTGCGGGGAGGATGACCTACAATACAATACAAACTGTTTTGACATGGAACAGCTGGTCCCACTTTTAAACAAACTACAACTTATAAAGGCTTTATAATAGCATACATAGTCTTCATTAGTACAACAAATCCTCTATAAGCTTATATTATGTTGCATAAGATGACATAACAGCTCCCCATTCCCACAAAAAACACCTCAATGCAGTTTCACACTGTTTAGAATGTCAGGTGGAATCTCATGTCATATCACCATCAGCATCTTAATTAGCATGTGTTACGGCAGCCCTTTATAAAGCACATTCTTTTGGGGGAATAGATAGCCTATAGCGTTTGTCACATTTAGAAATGTACCCTACATATGGAACTGTTATGTCACCCTTTACACCCTTTAGGGCTTTATAAAATACATTTGATTGACATTTGACTTTAGTATGACATTAACTGATTGTTTACGTCTCATTGCTCCGCCCTCAACTTCTGGACTTGTCACCGTGCTGTTGTGCAGTTTGTTGCTACTTGGCTATCTGCCAAACGTTTCGGGTTTTACCAACGTCTTAATTTTTTCCTCGCTCAACTTTTTTCATTCAACTTTTTCACCCCAGACGCTTTATCTGGACATGGTTCTACAGGACCTCCACCAGTCGAAAAGCTAAGTAGTAACATTAACACTATGCCATCTAATTGCAGTCGCTGTACTCATAGTATACAGGAGAACTATTGCCATATGGTGAGGATAGCCGTGTTGCAAGCACAGCTTCAGATGCAATCGTTAGGCAAGGGCAATGTAAGTGTAGGAAAGGATGAAACAGCATCTGTGCCACCAGTAAGTACAGATAGTAGTATAAATCCCCTCGCATAGTCCCCGCAGCCGGACAATTTTCTCATGGCTTCTGGAAAGAAATGCTGTCGGCATGCTCAACCGGTGTCGCTCATTCAGCCGACAGAAACTTTCAACCGGTACTCCCCATTAAGTAACGAGTCAGAGGCCAAGCCTTCTCAGTTCTCTCCTCCATCGGTTACGGGGTCTGAGCCACCGAAGCCTCCCACCATTAGCTCTCACAAATTGAAAACCCTAGTCATTGGCGACTCCATTACCCACAACATTAGACAGAAAAATAATAATCCAGCGATCATACACTGTTTACTAGGGGGCAGGGCTACCGACGTAAAGGCTAATCTGAAGATGGTGCTGGCTAAGGCTCAAACTGGTGAGTGTAGAGAGTATAGGGATATTGTTATCCACGTCGGCACCAACGATGTTAGGATGAAACCGTCAGAGGTCACCAAGCGCAACATAGCTTCAGCGAGTAAATCAGCTAGAAAGATGTCGGCATCGAGTAATTGTCTCTGGCCCCCTCCCAGTTATGGAGAGTGATGAGCTCTACAGCAGAGTCTCACAACTCAATCGCTGGTTGAAAACTGTTTTCTGCCCCTCCCTAAAGATAGAATTTGTAGATAATTGGCCCTCTTTCTGGGACTCACCCACAAACCGGACCAAGCCTGGCCTGCTGAGGAGTGACGGACTCCATCCTAGCTGGAGGGGTGCTCTCATCTTATCCATGAACATAGATAGGGCTCTAACTCCGCTAGCTCCACAATGAGACAGGGTGCAGGCCAGGCAGCAGGCTGTTAGCCAGCCTGCCAGCTTAGTGGAGTCTGCCACTAGCACAGTCAGTGTAGTCAGCTCAGCTATCCCCATTGAGACCGTGTCTGTGCCTCGAACTAGGTTGAGCAAAACAAAACATGGTGGTGTTCGCCTTAGCAATCTCATTGGAATAAAGACCTCCTCCAATCCTGCCATTATTGAACAGAGATTGTGATATCTAACATCTCAAAATAGGGTTACTTAATGTTAGATCCCTCACTTCCAAGGCAGTCCTAGTCAATGAACTAATCACTGATCATAATCTTGATGTGATTGGCCTGACTGAAACATGGCTCAAGCCTGATGAATTTACTGTGTTAAATGAGGCCTCTCCTCCTGGTTACACTAGTGACCATATACCCCGAGCATCCCGCAAAGGCGGAAGTGTTGATAACATTTATGACAGCAAATTTCATTTTAAAAAACAAAAAAAGACTGCGTTTGCGTCTTTTGAGCTTCTAGTCATGAAATCTATGCAGCCTACTCAATCACTTTTTATAGCTACTGTTTTCAGGCCTCCTGGGCCGTATACAGAGTTCCTCACTGAGTTTCCTGAATTCCTATCGGACCTTGTAGTCATGGCAGATAATATTCTTATTTTTGGTGACTTTAATATTCACATGGAAAAGTCCAAAGACCCACTCCAAAAGGCTTTCGGAGCCATCATCGACTCAGTGGGTTTTGTCCAACATGTCTCCGGACTTACTCATTGCCACAGTCATACCCTGGATCTAGTTTTGTCCCGTGGAATAAATATTGTGGATCTAAATGTTTTTCCTCATAATCCTGGACTATTTGACCACCATTTTATTACATTTGCAGTCACAACAAATAATCTGCTCAGACCCCAACCAAGGATCATCAAAAGCCAAGCTATAAATTCTCAGACAACCCAAAGATTCCTAGATGCACTTCCAGACTCCCTCCACCTACCCAAGGACGTCGGAGTACAAAAATCGGTTAACCACCTAACTGAGGATCTTAATTTAACCTTGCGTAATACCCTAGATGCAGTCGCACCTCTAAAAACAAAACATTTGGCACAAGAAATGTGCTGCCTGGTATACAGAATATACCCGAGCCCTGAAGCAAGCTTCCAGAAATTTGGAACGGAAATGGAGCTCCACCAAACTGGAAGTCTTCCGACTAGCTTGGAAAGACAGTACCGTGCAATATCAAAGAGCCCTCATTGCTACTCGATCATCCTATTTTTCCAACCTAATTGAGGAGAATAAGAACAATCCAACATTTATTTTTGATACTGTCGCAAAGCTAGCTTAAAAGCAGCATTCAACAAGAGAGGATAGCTTTCACTTCAGCAGTGATAAATTCATTAACTTTTTTGATTGAAAAGATCATGATCATTAGAAAGCAAATTACGGACTCCACCTTGAATCTGTGTATTTCTCCAAAGCTCAGTTGTCCTGAGTCTGCACAGAACTGCCAGGACCTAGGATCAATGGAGACACACGTTTTTTAATCCTGTATCTCTTGACACATTCATGAAAATAGTCATGGCATCTAAACTGTCAAGCTGCATACTGGACCCTATTCCAACTAAACTACTGAAAGAGCTACTTCCTGTGCTTGGCCCTCCTATGTTGAACATAATAAATGGCTCCCTATCCACCGGATTTGACCAAACTCACTAAAAGTGGCAGTAATAAAGCCTCTCTTGAAAAAGCCAAACCTTGACCCAGAAAATGTAAAGAAACTATCGGCCTATATTGAATCTCCCATTCCTCTCAACATTTTTAGAAAAGGCTGTTGCGCTACAACTCACTGCCTTCCTGAAGACAAATAATGTATACGAAATGCTTCAGTCTGGTTTTAGAACTCATCATAGCACTGAGACTGCACTCGTGAAGGTGGTAAATTACCTTTTAATGGCATCAGACCAAGACTCTGCATCTGTCCTTGTGCTCCTAGACCTTAGTGCTGCTTTTGACACCATCGAGCACCACATTATTTTGGAGAGATTAGAAACCCTAATTCAGGGGTGTCAAAGTCAAATGGACGGAGGGCCAAATAAAAAATTTAGCTACAAGCCGAGGGCCGGACTGTTCGAATGTTCATTGAAAAATTTTTAAATGACGCATATAGTCTAGTGAACCTAATTGAACCTACTGAAAACCTAACAAATATATTCCAATATGATCAGATAAATAAAGCAATATTTTCTTATGGCTCTGTCAGTAATCTTTAATTTTCAACAGACACAAAAGACAAATTTCCTTTATATAAAAATCCCCATAACATGAACATTAAATGAAAGAAACCGGTATTCAAGGCACCATCAGTAGCCTATATTTTCTATTTTAGCAAAAGTGGGCTAAATTTACTTCAAAGAAAAAAACAATAATAGCAATTTTCTATCATCCACTCAACTGAAATATTTTTAAAATATAATTGGATTGAAATACAATAAAATAAAGTGCAAAAATCTATTAATCAAAAACAACACTTTGTTTAAGGAGAAGTAACATGCAGTGAAAACAAATATTAAACTTTAACTTTTAAACTTGAACTGAGTAAAAACTCTAAATATGTGATTGCACAGTAATGTTCACTTGTTTGAGGTTGAGGGTGATACTTGGTGGTGTCCCATCTTTTCCACAAGTTCATCAATGTTCGGGGTAAGGCTCTGAGCTGAGGAAATCCTCAGAATTGAGTGGAGGTGTTCAGCAGTAAGTCGACTTCTGTGTGATGTTTTGTTCAGGTTCATCAAAGAAAACAGTTGTTCACACAGGTATGTGCTGCCAAACATAGACAACGTTTGAGCAGCCTGGATGCGCAGCTGGGGCATTGTGTCGGGGAGGAAACGGGCGAACTCCGCAGCACCCACTGCCGCATATTTTGCCCTCAGTGCATCATTGCATTGGAGGTCAATCAACTCCATTTGGAGGTTTGGTGGTGAGCTTTCCACGTCAACAGCAAATGGGTTACCGAGCAGTTCCAACCTGCTTTTTTGTGCTTCAAAGTCAGCAAATCGGCGTCGAAAGTCAGCGGCAAGCATACCTATTTTATCAGCCAACTGTGCGCTCGGGAACGCACTGGTAGAGAGCTTCTCTTTCATGGTCTGGCAGCTGGGAAAGTGGCTCAAATTTTCTTTCCGCATCTGCGTCTCCCACAGAGTCAGTTTGGTTTTAAATGCCTTCACTGTACTGTACATATCAGAGATGACATGATCCCGACCCTGCAGCTGCAAGTTCATTGCATTCAGATGACTCGTAATGTCACACAGAAAAGCCATTTCACACAGAAACATTTCGTCTCGGAGTTGTGTTGTGTCTTTCCCT